TGTGTCTGTCTCTGTATCTGTGTCTTTGAAGACAGTGACACCCCCATTCCCGCCAAGCCTAGCTGTGCACAAAAGGCGCCCACTTAGATGGCAAAGATGGGTACAGATGGCCCCTCTTCCCCCCTCTCCCCCACCCAAACTGTTGCCCCCCCTCAGTTGCTCAGTGCGCCTTGCCATCCCTGTTTGGGTTAATGGTAAGTGTAAGAAAATGTAAGTAAGGTGAAGGGAGGGAAGGGAAGGAAGCGTTTGGCTCAAACGAACCCAGCGCACCACCACACCCATCCATCAGCACCCGCCGCACCGCCCAGTTGTTCCAAGTGTGGATGTGTTTGGAGGTGGAGGTGTGGTATGGGTTGTGGTATGGATATTTCTATGGGTACGGCTATGGGTACGGAACACATGGGATGGGGTATGCTCTAATAATGGATCACGGATCACGCTTCACGCTTCCACACAACGCTTCCCTCACATCTTAGGTTGGTAAGGTAGCCTAAGGTAGCCACTCCTCCAAACACCCATTAAATAAATATTATACACTTCCCTCATTTCTCCCCCCTCCTCTCACTCTATTCCCCTCTATCACATCAACCTCTTCATATTCCCACAACACAACAAATCCTTCGATCACTTTTTGTGTATCGCCCCTAGCACTCGGAAGTCCTCGTTGACTCCGTTCATTCGCTTTCGCGTCTATCTTACAGAGTGTTGGCATCCTCAAACCCCAACCCGCAGCAGCCCTTAACTGAGAAAGCTGAGAAAGCCCGCATCACCTGCCTGAATCACCACAACACAACAGACAGCCCGCGCAAATCCATTTCGCTCGTTCATCCTCTGGAGGCCGCCTTACTCTTGGCATTCCCGGATTTGAAGGGAGGAAGGAGAGAAGAAAGAAAACCGACGAGAGCACTGCAGGAGACCCGGCCGCTCTCTCCTCATTCATCCCATCTCCGCCCGCCTGTGGAACGCCCGCCGTTTTTCCTCACAAGGTATCACCTGTGACCACGTTCGTTCCTGCTCATCTCGGGCCTATACAACCTCTTCCTGACCACCAAACCGCCATCAAAAACTGTCACCAACTGCCACCAACTGTCACCAACCATCTCCAACCGCAACACCCTCGCGCCACGTTCCGCGCTTACCCTGGTCACTTGTCTGTTACTCAGCCAGGCTGCATTAACTCACCGTAGCTGCAGAGTAGTACAGATAGTACAGAACAGAAACCCTGAGTGGCGAAACCGTGCCGAAGAAACCGCTGGTCTTTTTTCCCGCCTTTCTCAAACAGTTGTACCTTGCCGGTTCCTGGATGGAAGTAAGACCGTCGAAAGTCCACCCATAGAACAAATACTCCGGGAAAACGCGATCATACCTCCCACAGCATATTTTCGCCTCATCCGTCACTCATCCGTCACCTCATCCTCATCCTACGACTCCGTTCCTCGCTGCACAACCAACCAGTCTGTCGTTACATTCTCACGCATCTAACTTCACACCGTAAAGTGCATATCATCTCCTGCTACGTTTCGTCGTGCCTGAACCCCACACAAAGGCACTTCTCCGCGCCTGCCGTCTTACCCAAACTCTCACTCTCACCGGCTCCACCCAACTCAAACTCCATCTCCACCGCCCATCCGCTCAACTCCGAACACACTAAGGACTTGCCTTCCACCATCATCAAACGCATTGTCATCCCTTGGTCTCTTGTAGCCAAGGTGACCGGACTACCGCCTGCTTTGGCTGCCGCTCTCTGAGCTAAGCCTTATCACCACGCTCGTTAAACTTAACCTTCGTTACCAATCCTGACTCTACATATACCCCTCCAAGGTATCTTGTGATCAGCTTTGATTTTATATTTCTCTTTCAATAACCCTTTTACTTTTTGCCTTTCTGTTTTGGATCCATCGACGATCCATAAGTTTTAACCAGGCTTTGGCCTAATCACGCTCGTTAACTGCTCGAACAACAACAACACTCTCGTGTCGACTCACCCTCTTCACTCTTAATTATTCACAATGGCTGGACCCGGTGGTGGCCCTCCCAGACGGAGGTATGTGGTTTGACACTCTTTTTCTTGGATAACATACTGACATACACATAGTCATACCAAGTCTCGCAAGGGCTGTGATACGTGCAAACGTAGACACATCCGCTGTGATGAAAACTTCCCTCAGTGCAAGAACTGCACTAAACACAATGTCCGCTGTCCATACATGGACATGCCTCCCCCAGAAGAACGCCTGCCTACTCCTGAAAGGCCAGATCTTCTGTGGACCCCCGCGATCGAGGATGAGATCAACCGCTGGCAACAGACGGGCGTTTTCCCCTTCCCCGAGCTTGCCATCTACCCTCAGCCAAACCCGCAAGCCTTCTCTATTGAGGATCTGCGCCTCATGCACCACGTTGCCAGTATCTCGACCGAGCTGGGCATGCTCGATGCTGGATCGTTCACGATCTGGGCGAACCAGATTCCTCTTTTCTTGAAGATTGGCTCAACATATGGCTTCGTCATGCATGCTCTTTTGGCGTTCTCGGCGACTCATATTGCCTGGCTCACTGAATGCCCCATTGTCAGACAAATGGCATATGAGCACCGAGGCATCGCTTTGAAGGGACTCCACGAGGACATCGGCACCTTCTCCCGCAACAACTCAGATGCAGTCCTCGCCGCCTCCCTCCTCTTGTCTTGGCAAGCAACTGAATGGTAAGTTTGATTATATGACTGGCAAAGAGCCCCGCTAATCACTACTGTGTAGGCGCGGATGGACCCAACTTATGCACGGAACATCATCGGTATGCATTATAAATCTAGTCACAGGTTGTGAATGAAACCTAACATGTTACAGGTCATTGACGCCATGCAGCCATGGAAAAACGAATCTCAATTCGGTGACTTCATTGCCGAGCAATCCACATTCCCAACAGCTCCACCATCTCCGATTCCAAACAGGAAGCTCAGTGAACCCCTCAAGCAGGACATCGAGGCTCTTGGTGAGGCTCACGCCCAACTTCAGATGGTCGAGAAGTTCCTGGTCGAGAGTGGTGAAGATACTCAGGCAATCGTTCAACTTGCTAGCTTTGTCCGTGGCATCCGCAAGGTTACACCGGCGCACACTGCTGCGCAACGCTTCGAGATGTTGAACCCACTCCGAACTTGGCTTTTCTGGTTACCAGTCATGTATCTCCAACAACCACATGTCAGCCCATACGCTTTGGTTGTCCTGGCATACTACTACACGGTTGCATTGGTTGTCGAGCCTATCTTCCCTGAAGTTGGAGCTGCCTACTTTGGCAGTCTTTCACTTGGGCCCATTGAGCAAATCGCGCGCCGCTTGTTCTCTTTCAACGTCTCGCAATCCGATGATGAGCTCCAGACACCGCTTGCGTTGATGGAGTACCCCATTGATATGGTTACAAACTTCCGTCGTCGGATGGGATGGGAACAGCCTGAGCGAACTGCATCATTCCCTACATTTGAGAACAACATGTTTCACGGCAGCCCGTACGACATCCACGACAGCTTTGAGCCTAGCCAATTCAGCCTCGGCAGCAACCCGGCTTTCAGCTACAGCCAGGAGCACCTGACACCATATATCAAATCGGAACCTGGCTCAGCCATCAGCCCTCTGAGCATGGATCCATTTGCTGGCTCTTCGGGCCAGTATCTTGGAATCCCATCTCCGATTGGGTTTGGTGGCTACAACAGCCCAGGAGGATCATCATATGGAGATGTGGCATACAGCGATCAGGGAGAAGACTTCTACTATGACATCCAAGGAAGAGGACCCGGTGCGTTTGGCGGGTTCGTGCCTCATACAGTCTGGACTTAAGTTTGGCGGATCAGGAAATAACATCGCCCAGGACGTTCAATACAAGCTTAGGGGCCAGGAACGACGACCCCCACTCCTCACCAACTCCGAATACTCCAATAGTCCCGTCACAAACAATGGACAACTACAACTCCTCACCATCGACACAATCTCAACGATACTCTCCACTCCCATCACCACGCTATCCTCACTTGCACTCTCAATCACCTCAACACCGCTACAGCCCTTACACCACTCAACCACCTCCTCCTTCTCCGAAAGGAAAAGGCCGCCAGCAACAATAGAAACAACTTTACGACTTTTTACGACTCTCCTCTACTACAGAATACGGGAAACACATGATGATTCCCATGTAATTACCAGCTTAATGATGCCTACGCAGCGAAATCATTGAGCTCTCCTATCCTTAGCTTTTTGGGAACGGCGTTTAGAAAGATACCCACGACAGAGCTAGAACGATAGCACCTCACGGTCCTTAAGATACCCAACAACATATGCATTGGTTTGGCGCAACAACTTGCTTTTTTGATTTTAGAACAGCTTTGGAATTTTTTGATATTTGGTTTTTGCGATTTGGGATGCGAACTGGGACACGCGGGATACACGCAATTGGGCAAAAGAGGAAACAAGCATGCATGGCTTTTGGAATTTGCTCGCTGTTTTGCGATTTGTTTTGTAGCAACTGCAGGCGGAGAAGGCAGTTTGCGCGCGCGGCTGCGGACGGTGGATGGGTCCGGGCAAACTCTGTATACTGGTAGCTTGTTTTCTGATATTTTTTGATATTACTTGGAGAAGCTGGAACGGGACTTGGAATGAAGACGTTTCAATTGCTGCCATCTAAATATTGCCTCCCTTTTGCATGTGATTTCTGCTTTGAATATATGTTGTGAGTCGCCAGTAAGATCGATCGCCAAGTACACGGTATCATGCCTTAAGACATCATGTTTCATTTCACCATCTGCGACCGCCCCTCCCCCCCAGCGACCTGCCACCGTGATTGATGGGCGCGATCGCCAGATATGCATCGATGCGGCTAAATTTCCCCAGCCTTGCCGCTAATGTGCGATCCTCCCGCACTTTTTTGGGCAAATGCAAGTGCGTAGCCTCGCTTAGCGCACCCGCCGGCGGTGGGTTTGAGCTTACTGTAAACTCGTCACCGGTTGATTTGAGGTCCCTCCACTTACTTACCTTAGTTCGCGCAGATCCAAACAACGACAACAACACGACTTTTGAGGATTGTTATTTTCTGCGCTTTTTACGTGTAGAGCTTGGATACAGAAAGAAGGAGAACTGGAAAATTCGCAAAGATGAGCGGGGGTTGGAATACTAGTAAGCTATCCCTCCCTCCCTGGTTACTATCCAAGCAAGGACACATAAAAATCACCAAGCTCTTCCAACCTCACCACCAAGACCACCTAGCTGACTTCTCCTCCCCCCACAGTCGAATCCGACGCCGGAGTCTTCACCTTCCTCCTCGACAACCTCGGCGTAACCGGCGTCCAATTCGAAGAGCTCCTCTCCCTCGACCCCACAGCCCTCACCTCCCTCTCCCCCGTCTACGGCGTAATCTTCCTCTTCAAATACCCCACCACCGCGCTACCCTCGCCCGCTTCCGGCACCCCCCTGCCTGCTGCAGCAGAATCCCTCTTCTTCGCCAAACAAACGATCCAGAATGCGTGCGGTACCCAAGCCCTGCTTTCCGTGCTGCTGAATGTGGATACAACTGCGCCGTCTGGGGAGGGCGTAGCGCTGGGAGCGGAGCTGGAGGGGTTCAAGGAGTTTACGAAGCAGTTCCCGGCGGAGTTTAGGGGCGAGGCACTCAGCAATAGTGATAGGATTAGAGAGGTGCACAATTCGTTCGCCAAATCGTCGCCGTTTTCGATGGAGGAACAGCACAGGGCTGCGGGGGAGGATGACGAGTTATACCACTTCATCGCATACACCCCCATCGACGGGATCCTGTACGAGCTCGACGGACTCCAAGACGCGCCGCTGAGCCATGGGAGCTGCACGTTCGAGGAGTTTCCCGAGAAAGTTGTGCCGGTGTTGCAGGCGCGGATTGCGAGGTACCCGGCTGAGGAGATTCGGTTTAATCTGTTGGCGATGGTGAGGGATCTGAGGATCAGGGCGAGGGAGACGGGGGATGAGGGGTTGTTGGCGCAGGAGGAGGGGAAGAGGCAGGAGTGGGTGTTTGAGAATGCGTTGAGGAGACATAATTTTGTGGGGTTTGGGGCGGAGATTTTGAAGGCGGTTATGAGGGAGAAGGTGAAGGAGGGGAAGTATGAGGAGTGGGTGGAGGGGGCGAAGAAGGCGTATAAGGGGAGGGTGGAGGAGAGGAGGAAGGGTGGGGAGGATGTGGAGATGGCGGAATAGGGAGGGGGATGGGTTTTCTTTGAAGGGTGGTGGGGGGAGGTGAGCTGTTTGCGCCTGGGATTGGGAGGGTGATCTTCAGTGCTGGCTAGATCTTTGGGAGGCTGTATCATATGGCAGCAGCAGGGAGAAGCCGAGAGGGCTGGATATCGTCGATGTTCATCATGCATTTGCCATGGCGTTCTATACCATGTTTCTAGAGACGAGCTACTACTATGAGACAGAGTGCTCGATATGGATGAAAATGGCAACTAGATTTCAAGTTCTTCGTTATAAGACAACGTTTCGTCAGCTACTTTAATTTTTTTTTGGAGATTTAAGCTTCCGTGGGTCAGGTGAGAGGAGAATCATCGAGTTTGCCAGTTTGCCGTCTACAAGAGCCTTGGTTTCTTGGTTAGCGGGTGGCGTTGGTGCTTGGTGGCATACGTCACATCGACGGGAACTTCGCTGCGTAAGTTGTGACATAGACACTGGCAGAACCTTCAATCAGCAGAGTTGTCAGCGGTATAACAATGCTTATTAAGTTATAGAACCATCTGAAGTGTTCTATATGTTCTATATTAGATGGAATACAGAACATACCAGTGTATTGTATCACTACGCATTGTTGAATTTCCCTGCGCCCTGTCCCCGTGTGTCAAGTGAGAGTACAAGTCCCTTACAAGCCCTCTCCGTGTAACGCGGCGGTGAATCATGCAACCAGTGCTGTTCTGAGTGTGTATCCCCACTGAATAATGCATGTAATGCGCGCTGTGAGTCCCCCGCCCCACGCCAGAGCCACGACACACACCGCGTTGTACCAGCCGGAGTAGGAAGAGGAAGGGCGAGTTAGTGAGCTCCGGATCATCAACACACACCCCCAGGTTTCACCGTCCAATGCACACCAAACCAACTAACAGACGCGGACGCACGACAATGACAATACAGCAACAATAAACCTTTTCCAATTCTACAATTCTCCCAGTATATTCTCGTCTCGACCATCCTCACCGTCCTTTCTCAATCCCTTTCAGCCCGCCATATTCTGAGACAAGCGCTCAAGGCAGACGAAGACGAGACTTGTCACTTACAGCATTATCCTCGCTTGCGCTAGGTATCTAAGTATAGCCTTGGCGGGTCAGACGGCGGTCATCGACTATCTCAACTGACGACAACCCGGCGGCAACCAACATCCCCCATCCACTCCACTTCTCCAACCAACCGACCTCACCACCACCACCACCCGCCAACGACCAACCTCATCACCGACCTCACCTACACGCCGAACAACGCGAAGAACACTCTTGCACAACATCCACATCTCTCGTGCAACCCGACATCCTCCTCACCACCGCCACCCATCCCACCTACTGCCGCGGAACCCACCCTGTCCTGGCCAGGCCACCACCCACCGACCATGAAGCCCACCCGCATCCGCAACCCGCGGCATGTCGACTCCGGCCCCGACCTCTTCGCCAACATCTACATCCGGTCCTCCTCCTCCGGCGCCTCACAACACAGCCGTCCTGATGCCTACACCGCCGCCGCCGGTGGCGTCGTCAGCAGCAGCAGCGTGATGATGGAGAGCTCGACGGCGAACGGGGTGCTGATCGGGCTGCTGTCGTCATTCGGGTCGGCGCTGTTCATCGCGCTGGTGTTTCTGGTGGTGTACTTCTTTAGGTATACGCAGGGAGGTCGCATTCTGCTGGATCGGATTGGGAGGCCTGGGGAGTATGATGATGAGCAGAGCTTTTTGAGGGAGGAGGCCGAGGCGCTGGAGACCATGGAGGAAGGGCAGAGGATTGATTATTTGAGGGCTAAGGGTATGTCTTGAGATGTTCTGGGGGGGCTGGGGAGTTAAGTTGGGGACAATTGCTAATGATTTGGTGTACAGCTTTCATCGAATCGAATCCCCCGGATTCGTTACCAACCGACATCTCGTTGTCTCAATACCTGGCTATCCAAGAGAAAGGCGTATCAGCGTGGGAGTTTGAGCCGGAACTGGAAATAGCGAATTGTTTCGTCGAAGCGAGGACCGAGATTGAGTTCTTCGACAGCGAGTGCTGCGTCTTGAGCAACCTACCCGTCCCGAAACAGAATGAAGTGTATTATTGGGAGAGCAAGATCTATGATAAGCCCGAGCAGACCATGATCAGCATTGGCATGGCTACCAAACCCTATCCTCTCTTCCGTCTACCTGGTAAGCTTCCCTCGCCTCTTCATCCAACAATACCACCCCTTGCTCCCCCGCCACCCCATCCCTCGAAATCCAACAACTAACCCATCCCCTAGGCTGGCACAAATACTCCGTAGCCTACACCTCCACCGGCCAACGCCGCTACAACCAACCCTTCACCCCCACCTCCTACGGCCCCCCCTACGTCCAAGGCGACGTCATCGGCGTTGGCTACCGCCCCCGCACCGGCACCCTCTTCTTCACCCGCAACGGCAAGAAACTCGACGACGTCGCCCACGGCCTCAAATCCCAGAACCTCTTCCCCGCCGTCGGCGCGAACGGACCTTGCACCGTACACGTCAACTTCGGGCAATCGGGATTCGTGTTCATCGAAGCTAATGTCAAGAAATGGGGTCTTGCGCCAATGACGGGCTCCCTGGCGCCGCCGCCGCCGTATGGGAGTGAACAGGGGAGTATTCTTTTGGAGGCTGGCGGTGCGGGGGGTGGTGCCACGGAGACGGCGCATAATCACCAACCTAGCCGCCATGGACGCACGCGAAGCGGGAATATCTTCCGTGGCCACCCGACGAGTCCGGGGCCGGTGAGGAGCCCAACGGATATCTCTCTCGCGCACCTAGTGCATATCCCGCCCCCGACTGATGATGGGGGTGAAGGGAGCGCAGGGAGGATCGCGGGGTTACATCATGATGCTGCGCTACATGCTGCGGGGCTGGGGATTCAGCTCCCCCCCCCTGCACCCACGACACAGGTGGTGCAAGGGGTCGTGGTGGAAGATCATACCGCTCATCCGCCGCCGGAGTACTCGAGTCCGCCGGCGAGTAGGAGGGGGAGCGATAGTGATGGCGAGGGGGAGAGGAGGAGGTTGCTTGGTGGAAGCGGTGCGGGTGTAGGGAGAAGGGGGGGGAGGAGCCCGCCGATCCCGAGTTATAGCGATGCTGTTGCTGAGGGGCGGAGGGGCGAGGAGAGGGGGAGGTCGGGGACTGTGTGATCCCACCTCTTTTATCCTCACTTCTAGGTGCTGGATGTGGTGTGCTGTTTCGATGAGGGTGGACGGGGTGGTTATTCGGTTTAGCGCGGGTTAAAATGGTGTCGAAGGCGTTCATACAGTGGTGCTACCTGCATCTCTTTTCCTTTGTCTTTTCATGGTTTCGGTTTGGTCTGGTCTGGGGTCGGGGCGGGTATAGCGATCATTGATTCGGGGCGGTTGGTTGGGGACATTGTCGAATATTTAAGCTTTGTGTTTTTTTGTTATTGGGGGGGAGTTCTATTTTTTTGGGAGGGGGGGAGGGAAGCATGGGATGGGGAGGATGGGATTGTTGATATGGAGTTTTTCGATTGAATATGGAGGGTGGGGGGGAAGGTATATAGTTTTACCTCGTAAATGGAGGGAGATACACTGCTCAGTTATTCATTTTATGTGTATCGTCTTGATTACTGTTGTGATGTGGTGTGCTGGTGCTTAAAGAGTGAGGGAACATGTGTGGGCCGGTGGTCCAAGTGCTGAGCAGGCTCGATGATTCGTCACTTTAATAACATGAATTTACTAGAGGGGGAGTAAATTCATGTTTTAGTCTCCGCAGCTTCATTCGTCACTTTAATAACACTGATTCTGTTGACAGCACTTGCCTTCAATTAACGTGCCACCGTGCCACCTATGAGCCATGCTAGTTAGCTCATGTTGTCAAAATGGCCAATTAAACTCTTAGACAAATCCACTCTTGTGATAAATCTGATATCTTATGGTCCCTTTTAACTCTAGCAGGGGATGATTCAACGAAAACCTATGCATTAGCTCCTATGAATCACCCGGATGTCTTGTCCTCGCAATTAATCATTGTTGTAACTGATTATTGTCTGCAGAGATCTGTAACAGGATCTCCGTCTCATTGGTTAGCAACTGTTGGTTGCCTACGATCAGGAAGGGATCTGGACAAATCCAAACAAGCTACTATACCGTAGAATATGTATATATAGGAGCTTCCATGCATTCTAAGGCCATCCTTTCCATCACTGAATACTCATATCATTCCATAGTCACCAGATCCAAAACATCCTCCAACAACAAAGAGAGCACCGACACGACTTCACAATGTCTCCAACCGCCCCTTCCTCCAACCACGACACAATCTCCCCAGCAATTTTCTACTGGGGCACCCCCGTCGTCCTCATCACCACCGAAAACGAAGACTCAACCTTCAACATCGCCCCCATGTCATCCGCCTTCTGGCTCGGCAACAGATGCATGCTCGGTCTCGGCGGCATATCGCAAACCACGATAAACCTCCTCCGCACCAAGCAGTGCGTCCTCAATCTCCCCTCGGACGACATGACAGATGCCGTCAATGCCCTAGCTCGAACCACTGGCTCGAAGGAAATCCTCACCGCGCAGCCTGGCGAGGGATATAAATACTTCAAGCGAATGAACGGCTACGAATACGTCCCCGACAAATTCGGTCGCGCGGGACTTACGCCTATACAATCTGATATTGTCCGCCCGGCTAGAATCGCAGAGTGCCCGGCGCAGATGGAGGCAGAGCTCGTGGGGGTATATGAGATGGCTCGGGATGCGGATACGAAGGGGTTCTTTACGTTGGAAGTTAGGGTCGTTAGAACGCACGTGCATAGGGAGATTAGGATGGAGGGGTCGAAGAATCGGATTGATCCTGATAAATGGCGGCCGATGATTATGAGCTTTCAGGAGTTGTATGGGTTGAAGGGGAAGGTGGTGGATGAATCGGTGTTGGCGAGGATAGGGGAGGAGGAGTATAGGGGGTTCTCGAATTCGGTTGAGGTTGAGGAGAGGAATTAGATTGGAATTATAGAGGAATCGTGAATAGAGACGGAGTTGGGTAGTATGACTGTTCACTTTGGCATGACGAGTCTATATAGGGAGTGGCTGGTTCTTAGTTAAGAGCTTTGTACTCAATTCAATATAGTATTCGTTATAACTTACGTGTAACGTGTGTGCTTGGGGAAGACCTTAGCAGAAATGGCTAGATGGAGCAAATCTGGACCCCATGGGGCTTGCATGGCCAAAGTGAAAAGGAAAGGAAACGGGGCAGCCAGCGCGATCATAACCTCGTATAAACTATCTCATCTCATCTTATATTTGCATAATCTCCATCCCCACACATATTTTCACCCCGACCACATCTCCCTCCTTCCATCATATACTCGTCCCTCTCCCCTCTATCTACGTATAGACAGCCAGCACCCCCCTCCTTTTAAAGAAAACATCACAAAAAATAACAGGCTAAAAAAACTAAGAAATCGTCCACACAGGCGGATTATACAACCACTGCCTCCCCCTAACCTCCACGCCCATAAAGCCCGCAAACCGGATATTATTCGCGCCTTCCTTGATCTCTGGCTCTGCTGCTGCTGCTGCGGCGGCGGCGGCGGCAGCAGCAGCAGCGGCAGGAGCGAGTTTCTTCACCTTCGCGTCCTTTTTCCCCTTCCCCTCTTTCCCAGACTCCTCGTCTTTGCCGTCCTTCCCATCTCCTTCCTCAGCCTTGGTGTCTACCTCCAGCGGCGGCAGCGCCGGCTCGAGCTTCATATACGGCGCCACCAGGTCCCCAGGAAGGGGGTAGCAGATCGCGATATCCCTACTCTCGCACGGCAAATGACTCGCGATGCCCACCGCAAGTTCGATGATACTCGTCGCGTTCCCCTGGAACCCGTGATCCGCCGCATCATGGAGATGATTCATCAAATGCGCCGTCAGATTCGAAACAGCCATCTGAATGAAATCCGCCTTCGCCTGCGCCGCATGCGGAGAATTCAATCTGTACGCGAGACCCTCCATAGTCGTAAGTCTCCACTGCGTGATCTTCGCCGTCAGCGCATCAGCCTCATCCTGATTCGGCGGCGGCGCGGCGAAAAAGCGGACATTCTGCTCTACCCTCTTCAGCTCAGCGGAAAACCCGAGGTCGAGGGCCGGGTGAAAGCATTTCCCAAAAATCTCGTCGTTCAGCCAGCGCGCGATGGTGGCGCGGCCGACGGCGGTCATTTCTTTGGTCCCGGTTTGCAGGGCGGAGGGGTTGACGAAGGGGACGAGCCAGTGGGGGAGGGCTTTCCAGTCTTTGCGGATGGAGAAGGCGACTTCTTTGATGGCGCCGTCGAGGCGCTGGAAGCGCGTGATGTATTCGCTGTCGTCGAGGGAGGTTTTGGATTGCGAGAGGCGCTGGTTGGCGAGGGTGTTTTGGAGTTGCTCGACTTGGGCTTGCTTGTCGAAGTAGAGGCCTTTGACTTTTTTGTACTTGATGACTGTGTCATGTGAGTTAGGTAGGCGGGGTGATAGGGGGTGGTAGTGGTGAAAACTTACGCAGCTTATCCATCTCGGTCAGCTCGCGCGTCTCCTGCAAAGGCGGCGTGCTGCGTCCATCAGGCCCGTACTCCCCGCGCAGCTGTGAGTTGCGGTAGTTAGTCGGCGGCTGCTGTTGCTGTTGCTGCCCTGGGTTCGGGATAGGCGGCAGCGGGCTCTGCGCGGTAGTCGGGGTCTGGTTCGGCGGCGGGAACTGGCCTCCCTGTGTGTAACCCGGGGGCGGCGCGCGGTTATCACCCTGCTGCTGCAAGCTCTTGTCTGTGGACTTGCGGCTCTGCGAGCCTTGCGCAGCTGGGGGCGCCATGATGTTAGACGAAGACTGGTGGGTTAGTCGCGGCGGGTCTTGGTTCGCGGAGGCGGTGCGTGAGGGGTACTGCTGCTGGGCGGTGTAGCCCTGGGAGCTCTGGACGGAGGGCGGGCGCTGCTCTTCGTTTGGGTCTAAGGGGGAGTCGTGGGAGAGCTGCGAGACGACCTCCGGGTTGCGGTACTGCTGGTTGGAGACGAAGCTGCCGAGGCTCTGCTGCTGCGCGTGCTGCTGCTGGTATTGCCCTGGCTGCTGCGGTGCCTGGTTGCTGTAGTCGACCGAGGGGTCCTCGATGGGGGCGTTGTGCTGTTGCTGCGCTAGCTGATACTGTTGCGGGCTGTACTGCTGTGGGCTGTGGACTTGCTGCTCCTGGAACTGGTGGTACTGCTGGGGCGCGACTTGGCCTTGACCGTCTGCGACTACACGAACTGTGAGTCCGAGGCGTGGATCATACGCTGAGGCCTGGTGCTCTGCCTCCTTGTCCCGGATCAGGTAGGGGTCTAGACCGTCGTCCTGCTGCTCCTGCGGCGATGGCAAGTTGTTTGAGCTCTGGTTCGACTGCTGCCACCCAGTCTGCTGTAGCCCCTCTACTGAATTATTCTGCTGCTGCTGCGGCGTCTGGGGCAGCGAATCGCCGTTCTTCTTAGAGATCTTGCGGCCGACAGCAGGGCTCTTGAGCGACGCAGCGGGTGGAGCTTGCTGCTGCTGCTGTTGCTGCTGGCGACTGCTACTGCTACTACTCGACTCGCGATGCGACTTGGACGAGAACTGTCCAAAGAAGTTGCGAGACTTCGACTTCTTGTGCGGTTCCGGGACCAGGGTTGGAGCTGCGGGTCCAGCGGTCGACGACTTCTTTAATTCACCCGGCGCGGGGACCTTGGCGTTTGCAGCCGCGTCTGCGAAGGGCGCAGGGTCTCCGCTGTTTTGCGGGGAAACCTGCTGCTGTTGTTGCTGTAGCTGTTGCTGCTGCTGCGCCGACGGGCTCGTGATATGCAGGTAAGATGTCGAGAAGCGGTGGGAGCGGGATCGGGTTGGCGCGGCGCTCGGGTGGGCTGTCAGTTCATGATACGCGTTGCCGCCGCTTTGCTGATCCGCTGGGGGCGCTTGGTAGGAGGCCACGTCGTCGGATGGGTTGGGGTATGGCTGCTGTTGTTGCTGTTGTTGTTGTTGTGGTTGAGGCTGAGCGACTACGCTCGGGTCATAACCTTTGTTCTCGGAGGCGGTGGGAGGTTGCTGCGGGATGTGCTGTTGTTGCTGCTGCTGTTGTTGCTGTTGGAGCTGCTGCTGCTGGAGAAGTTGCTGCTGCTGTAGATGAGCCTGCTGCTGCTGTTGTTGCTGCTGCAGCTGGTCAGCTTGCGATAGTTGTGGTGGGAGTTGCAGCTGTTGTTGTTGCGGTAGTACCTGGGGGGGGAGAGGAGCCAGCTGCTGCGAACGATTACTGTGCCGAGTGAATCCCAGGGGCATCTGGTACTAGCACATTCGTGGCGCTGCGGCACACGACGCTCGAAGGGGTATAATTGATAACAACAACGTATTAAAATGTGAAGTGCCCAGCGTTAGGTGCAATTTCAATCAAGAGGATAGGTTTGTTTCGGTGGTGGCACGTCTCCTCTCTGTCTGCGCCTTAGTGTGATGAGGGGGGGGGGGGGTGGATGATGGGATGGGCGGGATGGGTAAGGCTGTGCAAAGCCAATTTGGACGTGCGCGCTTCCACTGTCAGCCGTCTAGTGGTTTACTGTGCGCTCCTGCTTACTTTTTGAGATGACCCTTGACGCGGAAGAGACAGGGAATAATAAATAACGCGGCTGTTAATTTGTTGAGTTCTAATCTACTGAGTATCTAGAAGTGGGTAATGGGATGTGATACTGCAATGCAGAAGGGTATGGGATAAAGATAGGGTCCAACAGAGGGGTCCATGGGAGGTTCTGTGGCTTGTTTCTATCTAAGAGACATGCAAGACAGACGGAGACGGTGACAGATGGGGATAGACGAGACAGCTGCAACAGACAGATCGGGACCGATAGGGAGAGACAGGATATCCAGAACGCATGGAGATGAAGATAGATGTCATATCGAGGCGCAATGCATATATTGGCCTACGGTGATGTGCAGATGTCTATATATAAACCACTACGTAAATACAAGCGTTTGCTACTCTGTGGAGGCAGGTCTTGGTGTTGACGCGGCGCACGCACGCACAGTGGGTGTGTGTGGCTCCGTCGGGTGCTTGCCGTGCTGACAGTGCTGTACGGGAAGCTGTATGGGGCAGCTGAAGAAGCTATGGCTTCAGCTCACACTGTGCCATTACAATTTGAGTATGAGACCAAGGGAAATACGACAGTACTACTCTACTCACCGAACTAAATATCACCAGACTAGATATTACTAGCCATTCTGCCTGATCAGCTCCTTCCTTCCCCCTCTCTCTCCCTCCACAGTAAGAAACACAAGGCACGGCGTAACCTTACAGAAGTAGCCGTAGCCGCGATCCAAAAATAGACCAATCTCCAGTGCTCCCAGTGGAGTAACCTGGCCTAGTGGGGTAGAAGGCTGCCAGAATGCCAGAAGGAGAGTAAGCACCGAACAAGGCAAGGCAAGGCAAACCTGTCCGCCGTCGCTGACTGCATAAGTCTCCAATTAAAGGATGAACAATGAGCAATCCTCCATTGTTACTGCACGTTTATTGATTGCGTGTATGCGCTTCTACTATAATAACACGGTGTGCATATTCTGGAAAAAAGGGGCTTGGACCCTGACGTGAACGAACTTACCTCACCTACCAAATAAAGTAAACAAACCGCGTTTATAGTACAGACCCCCTTTCTAAGCTATCATAACAAATACTAACCATCCAAGCAAAACGAACAAAACAAACACCTCGGTCCACTAAAGTGTAACCCGACCACCGTAGCCCTCCCTACCTTTTGCACTATATAGCATAAACGTATAAACGTGCATAACCCCTGACCATCTCCCATCTCATCCGCCGCCATACTCAATAATAGTAGCACCACCACCCAACCCACACCATCACAGCCATCATGCACATCCCCATCTCCCATCTCTCCACCTCCACAATGACGCACACACACCCATCCATCACCCACACCCGCCGTCCCACGCTTCCACTTCCATGCCCTCCTCCAAATATAATCCAGGCACCGTACCACCACCATCTCGTATCCTCTTCTCTTGCGTTCCCCAAACTCTCATCACGAAACGATAAAACCGCCTTTCCAGGCCCTCAAATCATTCTCGTCCCAAGACGGGTACAACCTACCACCCAACCCCCTATATGTGTGAGTCTTGGCTCGGGCGGGCCCCTTACAGACACTGTCTCTAAAGCGCAAAGATGGACAACGCGACGATCGCCGATGTTGTCACGTTGCGCTGGGGAGTGGTGCCCTGAGCAAGGGAGGGAGGATGTGCAACCGCGTAGATTAACGGTGTGGTTGGTATAAGTAAAACCTGTCTTGTCGTTCTATTTGGACTTCCTTCTTGCTTCTATACATACAATCCGTGTCTGGACGCGCTGGTTCAACTTGTATAATCTATCCCCTTCCATTCATTGAAGTTGACGACGACACGCACTACAAGTAACTGAAAATACCCTCCACCTACAAAATAAACAAAAACAATGCACTTCCCCACCACCACCACCCTCCTCGCCGCCGCCGCGTTGGCACCTCTCGCAGCCGCCGTGCCCGCCACGCCGCCGATATGGGCACCTCGCCTTAATGCCGTGGCCGTCCACAAGAGCGGCGGGTTCAAAGATATGATCTTGACTGAGATCCGTACCAATACTCTCAGGACCTCGAATGGGACGGATGATAACCGTCAGATCTCTTGTGCGTCCCCCGTCCCCTTTCCAACCACCAATTACGCGGCCAATTCACTTTCCCATCAGCAATTACACATCCAATTCATCTTCACCATCAGCAATTGCATCCCCCCCCCCCCCCCCCCGGGGGAAACTTTACTTAACTTGATGGCCTCCAACTAACACCCCCCCAGTCCACCTCGCTGACGCAAACTTCAACACCACAACCACCTGCACCAAAACCTGGTACGAGACCTACAACACCTCCACCACCCGTCCCGGGTCCTACATGGCCTGCAAAGCGAATGCCGGTGTGAAAGAGAGCTACCGGTGGTTCTTCGACAGCTACACCAGCCTCGGAGAGTTCGGTCTGCAGCTGGCGCATGCGTATAGTGACCCGGTGAACTACCCGCCGCCGTGGGATGTGGTGGGGTTGTTTGCTACGGTTAATATTACGTTGGGGTGTGCGGAGGGGAAAGGGGGGAAGGAGTGTGCGCTCAAGGAGGGGGAGAGTGTTAGGGCGCCGATTAATGGTGCTGTTAACTGAGGAGGGATAGGCGTAGGACGCGTGAGGAAGAATGTGAGATGAGGAAGAATGTGAGGAGAAGAGAGTGAGAGGTAGAGAGGAGGCCGTGTGATAGGGAAGCAGACGATGCCTCGTGGAGGTGAAGCCAGGAGTGAACCTCGCGTTCCACAGCGTTGGAAAGTCCTCATTGAAGGAGAGGAGATGTAATATCTATATACCAAAAGCATAGACTAGACCAACAACCATAATGAATCCAACTTATGTAATCCAACCCTTCTCAATCCACCCCCTCCCTTCCCAATCCACCCCCTCCATCCACATTCCTCCCTCCCCGAGCCGCACCACCAGCCTCGTCTCCGATCCCGGAGCCTCTGGGGCTGACCTACGTGCGTCCTGTGACTCTAGCATACCCGGGCCGAGCAGGTTTATGCAGCAGCCTCGTTGGAGAAGGTCGAGGCGAGGGCGAGGCTGGGTGGGTGTGGGTGTGTTACCTGTTCCTATCTCGTGTGTGGTGTGGTGAAGATGGGTGTTAGACGTTTACGTGTTGAAAGAGGTGGGGGCCCATGATGACTGGTGGCGCCGAGGATGTAGGTGTGTGTGTGTAGTAATCACGCACCATCCAGACACCCAAGGAACGATGGACGGGATCCTAATCATTCAGCCCCGACTAGCCCACGACTAGGTCATGTAAAGCATATCACTAACCCCTACCACGGGGCTTCCTCCCCTTCTTCGCCACCACCTATACCATCCTATCCTAGATCCTAGAAGTACGCTGCTCTCCCTTAGTTACGCGAACGGGGAGAAAGAGGCAGGGGGGGAGGCGGCATGTGCCATACCCTCATGCGCCGGCCAAACTCCGAAGGCCGCTCGGAGCAGGTAGCGGCGTGGTTTTGTGCATGCGAGCTCGGACCGCCTATGACGCGTGTTGTGGCGGCGCGTGGGCTGGGGGCGGATGCGGTGTGGTTGAAGGGTGGGTGAGGCGCCATGGAGTTTCCGGTGGGTGAGGTGGGATGGGATGGGATGGATGGGATGCGGGATGAAGGGGGTTCGGGATGCTGGATTTGGGGGAGGAGGAGGGAGGGAAGGTGATGTGGCGGTGGGAGTTGAGATATGGTGGTGGGAAGTGCCGGTGTTAGTAGAGGGGAGAAGGGAGACGGGGGGGGGTTCAGGATGGTAATAGAGGTGGAGATGGGAGAGGTGGATGGCCGGGCTAGATGTGATTGTGTGAAGGGCGTAGTGCATCAGGGCGGATTGGGAAGGTAGAGTAGTATGTAGTAAAAACAGTAACTCAGAAACGACAGAAAACGACAGCGATCGGTCATATGATTCGCATCAAATAGCTCACACTCAAGGCGAGAACATCCAGGCCCTTTAATAAACCCCGGCCGCCTTATTGACTTGTTGGCCTCTTGACTTCCTGACTCCTCCAACCCTCGTCTTCCCATCTTGATGAATAATCCGTAACCCACTACTCCTCCTCCACTCCCAGTATACTTTTTACAAAGTATTACTCTTTCCTCCCCACCCTACTGGCCTCTGTGTCTTGGCGCGGCGGAGCGGGATTGGCGCGGATTTAACTGTGCAGCTGTGCACCGAGGGCGTCCTGCAGCTGTGCATATTTTTGCATAGTTGCGGTGGTTTCTAGTGTCTAGTTAGTGATCTAGTAGTGATCTAGTAGTTAGGGATGGACTAGGCTAAATGAGGCGAAAGAGCGGAATTGAGCGTCGGAGGGGATGCTGGGATGCTAGGATGCTTGGGGGGGGGGTAGGAGGATGGGATGGGATGCACCAGGCCGGGGGGGGGGGTGGAGGAGTTAATGTTAGAGTAGGTAATGAATGTATGAGGGATATGTCATGAGGGGATAGGGAAGGCATGGGTTGAGATGGATGGGATAGGGATGAGGTGGGATTGCCATTGTTTAAGTAAAGTTAAGTTAAGTAAAATGATTAGAAGAGTATCTATAGTAGACTCTATATTAGACTTGTGAGGCTAATGGCTAATGGCTAATGATGGTAGATTAACTATAGTTGGTAGTTTGTTAGTTGTAGGTTTTAGTTGTGGTTGTTCATACATACATAATATGACTCTACTCTCTATACAGACTATACAGACCCTCAAATACTAATACGACCTCTTTATACACCCTGAACTAAACCCTACTATTTCTTCCAATACTATTCTACTATTATGACTCCCTGTCCACCCAGAACAATATTCTCCCCCCCCTCTCCCCTCCCCTTCCCCACTGTATTCTTCTATTCTTTATTATCCTCGAGTAACGTTAATCTTGTTAATCTTTTTCGAGAGAAGCCTTACCACTCTTATCCATTATTCCCAACTTAAGTCAACTTTTTCTGACCCTTAACCCTGATGCCCCCCCCTCCCGCCGCCCGCCTTACCTAACTAAGTCCTGCACTCCGCACCTCCTCCTTCCCTTCACCCAGCTTACTCACTCCGCTACTCGGTGGCCTACGTTGACTACTCTCCTCTACTCTCAATCCCTTTTCACCTCTCCTCCTCAATAATCACCACCGACGACCCTCGCCGTCCTGCCATTGCCTCCAACACCCACCACCCCTCCTCACCGGCGAACTATCGGTGACATCATCCTCCTCCAACCCATCACCACCACCGCCAATATAATCCCACCGCCACCACCACCACCACCCACACCCACCCTCACCCTGCTCCGCAGAGCGATGTGACTGTCACCGCCCGTCGCCACAGCAGATCCCTCCGCACGCGACACCACAATGCCCAACCCCGACCCCTCCAGCACGGCCGCGACGTCCTCTCGCGGTGGCTCTGGCGCCGCCACCCCCGACCACTACGACGACGACCACCACGCCGCGGCAACACCCCAATGGCACCCGCTACACGACCAAACCTCGCCCGACCCGACCGCCCTGCCCCGCGCCACCGCGCCGCTCCAAAAACGTCGCCGCGTCACACGCGCCTGCGACGAGTGCAGACGGAAGAAGATAAAATGTGATGGGAAACAGCCGTGCACGCACTGCACGGTTTATAGCTATGGTGCGTAGCCCCGGAAGCAAGGGAGGGGGTAGAGGAGATGGAAGAGACGAGACACGCGAGCTAAGCTAACACCCCGCAGAATGCACATTCGACCAGCCGTCGAACCGCCGCCGTAACCCGGCACCACAATACATAGAAGCGCTGGAGACGCGGCTCCAGCGCGCCGAAGTGCTCCTGCGCTCTTTCGTGCCGAACATCGATCTCAGCGATCCGAACTTCGAGGCCGCGGTCGCGGCAGCGCGCAAGGGCGCAGGAACAGCAGGACAAGCGCACCTCGGAGCCGAGAGAGCGATGTCCGAGACCTCGCGACCTGGGACGAGCGAGCCAGGCGGCGAAGAGGGGGACGACGCGCAGCTGAGCTCGATGATCGAGACGACGGGGCAGCTGGAGATAGATGAGCGCGGACACTGGGATTTCCACGGCGGGTCGTCCGGAGCGGTGTTCCTGCAGCAGATGCGCGAGCAGTTCGATGGGCTGCTGGGGAATGATACGAAGGCGCCTTTCTTGCCACGGCTGCCGGCGAGACCGTCGACGTTTTCGCAGCTCGAGTCGCCGAGGTCGACGGCCGAGTCGCCGTTTGAAGGGGGGTTGCCGAATACCCTCGATCTGCCGGATAGGGAGGTGGCGCTGAATCTGTGCTCGAATGCGCTGGATTGCGCGTGTGCGCTGCTGAGGATCGTGCATACGCCGTCGTTTTATGAGATGTTTGATCGTATTTATGATACGCCGCCGGAAAACTTTGGGGATGAGGAGAATAGATTTCTGCCGCTGCTGTATTCGATATTGGCCTTGGGAAGCATGTTTATGGATCACCCGGGCGCGCATAAGGGGCAAGATGTGTCGTATAAGGAGGGAATTGATCAAGGGTGAGCCGGTCTACACTACTACTTCTGGCATACATATCACTAACACTCAACAGGCTGAAATACTTCACCGCCGCCCGCCAGATGATGGAAATCACCGACTGCCGCGACATGCCCTCGCTGCAAGCCGTCCTCTTCATGATCCTCTTCCTCCAGTCCTCCGCCAACCTGAGCACGTGCTACTCCTACATCGGGATTGCCTTGCGTTCAGCGCTGCGTATGGGTCTCCACCGCAATCTCACCTACAACTTCAACCCGATTGAGCGCGAGACGCGCCGCCGCGCCTTCTGGATCATCCGCAAGATGGACACATACGTGAGCGCACTTCTAGGGTTCCCCAAGATGCTAAATGATGAGGACGTCGATCAAGAACTGCCCGTCGAGGTTGACGACGAATACATCACCCGCGAAGCCATCTTACCTATGCCGCCGGGAAAACTCTCTATCTTCGCCGCCAGCAACGCACATACAAAGCTCATGTTCATCCTCGCAAAGGTGATCCGCGACGTCTACCCGCTCAAATCCGCGGACCAATGCATGCCAGGCTCCGAGCGCCCAACTTACGTCGTCAGCCACGCCAAGATTCAGGCTATCGAATATGACCTCCAAGCCTGGCTTGAGAAGCTCCCCATGGGGCTTCGACCCGGCGGCGACGCCCCCGAGGATGTAGTTCGGTATGTATACCATCCACCCAGTTTACCAGTCTCTTCTCTAACACTCCCCAGCGTCCAACAACTCCTCCGCATGGCCTACGCACACGTGCAAATGATGCTTTACCGCCCCTTCCTCCACTACGTGTCCTCCCGCCCTCCCCCCCACGGCAGCAAGCCCGTCGACGAGCGCAGCTACGCCTGCGCCGCGGCTTGCGTCAGCGTCTCGCGCAACATCGTGCACATCACGGCCGAGATGCAGCGACGCGGTTTCCTCATCGGCGCGTACTGGTTCACCATGTACACGACCTTCTTCGCGATCCTTTCGCTCGCCTTCTTCGTGTTGGAGAACCCAGGGAAGCCAGGAGCCGAGGAAATCATGGAGAATGCCAGCGTGGGACGCGATACCCTCAAGGCATTGGCGAGGAGAAGCATGGCAGCCGATCGATGCAGCCAATCCCTCACCGTCCTCTTCGAACAGCTCCGTCTACGCCTAAACCTCAACCCCCCCACCCAAACCAAATCCAACAAACGCCCCCAACCCTCCCACCACCTCGCCACCCCCAGCACCACAAGCACAACCACCAAATCCACCGCCACCACCTCCAGCACCCCCGACCTCGCCGCCCCGCAACGCGCGCGCACCTTCCCTACCCCCCCCTCACAGTTTCCATTGAACCCACAACGCCGCTTTGCGCCCTCGACGAGCGATCCGAATCTTCGCGCTTCGTTCGATATGCGCGCTTCCACGCCGTCGGGGGGGACATCGGCGGGGGCCTCGACACCGGATACGCCTGCGTCGATGGCGTCGATGGGGATGGGTGGGTTGGGACTGGGACAGCAGCAGCAGGGGGGCCAGCAGGGACAGCAATATTACGGCGGCCTTGGGGCGGGTGGTGGTATGGGCGAGGAGTTGCCGGATTTGTCGGCTGTGATGTTTCCGAGTAGTGATCCGTTTGCGTATCCCGCGCAGCCGATGTTGAATACGTACCACACCGGTAAGGGGGGGATGGATAGTAGCGGTGAGACGGAGATGGATGATTCCACCACCAGCGGAGGCGGTGACGTGCCAGCAACGACGACGTACCTCGATCCCAGCATGACTGGCAACAGCGGGCTCTTCTCCGACCCCTCGCAAGGGATGTACGGCGATCTGGAGGGCCAGATCTTCGGTCCGCTGCCGGGGTTTCTGATGGAGGGCGGGATGGGAGGTATGGGGATGGGAATGGGGATGAATGGGTTTGGGGGCGATGGGATGGGGGGAACTGCCGGGGAAGGGGTGGTGCAGCAGGTTGGGATGGTGGGATTGGGGATGGGTGGGGGGATGGGGGGGATGGGGAATTTCGGTGGGATGGGCGGGTATGATGATGGGTATGGAGGGGAGGGGTGGGGAGGTGGTGGTAGTGGTGGTGGCAATGGGGGCGGGGGTGGGGGGTATGGTGGTGGTGGGGTTTAGAAGGGTTTCGTTTTGCATTGGGAGGGGGGTGATTTTTGGCGCGGCTTTTTTTTGGGTTGGGTTGTTGTAGATGGGTTTATGGCTGGGTGTATGGATATGGTTTGGTATGGGTTTATATAAAACATAACGTAAATGAGATGGTAAGGATTATAATGAATATGAAGATGAATATACCAACCATACATGTATACTCGTGGTGCGTGAAGGTTGAATCCATCGTTTCTATCGATAATGAATTAGCTGCTCTTAATGCCCATTAAAATGTTTGGCCGTGCCCGACAGCAGCAATTCTCAGCGACGGCAGCAACTCGCGATAGCAGCAAGATTTGTGACGACGGCGATTCTCGACAGCAGCAGCAGCTCCCGACGGTAACAGCCTGCTTCTAGTAGGAGAGTGCTCGATGCTTCCGGTCCACCTCGGAAGCTCTTACAAATCCTCCATCTTTGGTTTCCGGGTGATTGAAGTCGTTGGCCTCTTTGGAAATGTCGTAGCCTGTGGGCCAAAAGACCGAACGAATCCTTTTCTATGCTCCTACTGTATCTGAGGATTAGTAGGAGGAACTTAAATAATGGGATTTCTCGATTCAACTCTATCTACGTACCTTCCCTCCGATCAGAGCACCGCGTTATCAAGCGCCTTTTCCCATCGTACTTGCTACATACACCATCTGTATGCAATTCCCTCCCCCTCCTCTAACCAGCACACCCAGCACCCCGCTCACACCCTCCTAAAATAACACGTACAAATACTCTGTCCCTCCCCCCCCCCAAACCTAAACCTCCTATACTCCACCCGTCCCCCCCACTCCAACCCCTCCCCCTCAAACCACCCCCGTACCTCCCCCTCCGTCCAATTACAACTCGTAATCACCGCCCACCCCCCCCTCCTCACCACCTCCCTCACCCTCTCCACATACCGCTTCCCCGCCTCCGCATCCCCCATCAAGCTAACCGCGTCGAATGTCCCCTTGTCGAGAACGACGTCCCAGCCATCCGCGTTAGGGCCCGAGAGCACCGCATCTGATGGCGAGGCGAGGATGTCCCATTCTACAAACTCTACTGCGCCGTCAACTAGGCCGCGCTCGGTTGCTACGGCGCGCGCAAAGGTGATGGAGGTAGCGCTGTAATCTGTGCCCATCATGCGGCCCTTAAACAATTTCCCCTCCTCCTCCTCCCCCTCCTCTTCCTCATCCTCGCTATCATCATCCCCCCTGACCCCCTCATCCCTAAGTCTAAACAGCAAATGTCCATTCCCCGTCCCCAGATCTAGGAAACTAGCCGTCGCGGGGTCGAAACCGGTGAGTGACGAGGAGCGGAGGAGGGCGACCAGCTTGTCTTCGGCGCTGGAGTCGTCGAACCAGATTGTGCCTTCGTCGGTGGGGTCGGCGGCGTGGTTGGTGGATTCGCGGGTGTAGAGTTCGTCCCAGCTGAGTCGTGTGTTAGTTAGAGTTGGGGGATTTTCATGTGGAGGGGGGAAGGAGGAGGGGAAGGGAGGCGTAGATAGATTGCCAGAGGGGCGGGGTGGGAGAGGGGACGTACTATTCCTTCGTTCCCAGCTCAGAGGCCTCGAGTGGCGCGGGGGTAGCGGGCGTCTGGTCTGCCATTTTTGGAGGCTGTGCTGGGGGGGTGTGAGGTCGTGAATAGGGTATGGAGCTTGGTTGGCAGTGAGGGGCAGATTGGCGGATCGAGAGTTTTTGGTGGGTTAATCAGTGGAGGGGGGAAAATCGATAGGCAGAATTGTCTAATACAGCAGGCGGTGAGAGGTGGGCTGTCTAACTACTTTCGTATAGCTCGGTTTCGGGGGACAGACGGACATACATCACAAACGAGTGCGACGATTCAGAAAATGAAGCTTAATATATTCAAGAATTGTGTGGTGATGTATCTGGAAGCTCGATGCGATTATTCTTGCGCAGATTGGCGCTACTTCTACTAGAAGTGCGCAAAATCAATACGGCCTTATGTCACGTGATTCCAGTATTAAGGTAGTGGTTTCTATAGCGTCTCTCATTAATTTCACGTGATACTAGTATTAGGGATTAGTGGTGGTTTTATAGCATCTCTCATTACAGTTCTAGCAACAAGAACGGTTCTGGTATTGCTGCTCCTGGTCTAAAAACAACAGCGAACGCAGCATCATCGACTAGGAAACATAAAACTGTCTGTCTCCCTCAAGAGATGCCGTCCACATCATTTGTCATGCAAGCATTCCAGGAGAAAAATCACGTCACGAATTGTCATTATTTGACTTCCCCCCTCTCTCCCTACAGCAAACCGCTATCTCGATAAAAACGCTCTGCGGCAAGCAGCTTTCCCCAGATTTATGTCCACCCCGCTTCCTTCCCTCATCTATTGCGAAATCTGCATCTCGTCCGAGGACACGGCGCTCGCGGCCGTCGTGGCGAAGTAGCGGACGTCGACGTCGTCGTCCTTCTGCAGCTTCTCGAGGTTGGGGAGGATGCGCTCTTGGATGGTCTCGAGGCCCTTGGGGGACGGGGTAGGGGACAGGCCGGACTTCTCGATGGAGTAGATGGTGCCTTCGTTGGGGAGGCGCTTGAGAACATCGATCAGTTGGCCGTAGGACTTTGCGACGTTAAAGCGGATGTTGGGGATCTCGTCTTCGACGAGCTTGTCCATCATGGGGAGGATGGATTGGGAGATGACGTCCAAGCTGACAACGGATGACAGGGTCTATTACATGGTTAGCTTGGTATAGTCTAGACAGATGCCATGAAACTCACAGAGATAGCAAAGCAAGTCGTCATGCGGTAAAGGTAGTTGGGGTGTGCGCCCATAGCCATAACCTTAGGAATGATGGCCTCATTTGCCCACTCGACGCCAAACACCTCAGTAAGCTTCTTGAGGTTGTGCGTGGCGGCTTCACGGATAGAAAATACGGTGTCACCCAACCAGGCCATGCACAGCGAGGAGAGTTGTTCATCGAAGAATTTCACGCCCAGCTGGCTAGCAAGGAGTGGGATATACTCAATGATGGCCAGTCTGACGCGCCATTGCTTATCCTCAGCGAGCTGCACAATAGCTGGGAGGAGAGATTGCGACAGGAGGTCGATGCCAATAACCTGGTTGACGAGTTCGAGCTTGGAGATGATGTGGAGGCGGACGTCGGGGAATTCGTCCTTGAGCATTTGGAGGAACATGGGGAGAAGGTGATCGATGGTCTCTTGCTTGCCAAGTATCGGAGCAAGGCCGCTGATCTGCGTGCCAAGAGCAGCACGGACGTGCTGAGAGCTGTCGGAGACCAGGTCCTCGACCGTAGCCATAATATCGTTAAGCAGGGTGGCCCTGTCTAACAGAAGACAGAAGCCGGGGATTTGTCCTGCAATGGCAGTTCTAACCTCCGCCTCGCTGTCCTTCAGCAATTTAACAAATGCTGGGACAAGGTCCCTTGTGACAACCTCGTCATCTACTGCTTTCGCGATCTGTGTGAGGTTAGCAAACCGCCAAGGTTACATCTGTAAATTACGACAAAATCATACCTTCTCAAATCTATCCGCAACCATATAGCGCACCCTCCAGCTCTTGTCTTCGATGAGGCTTCTCAAAGAAGTCAAGAGAACTCCGTGGCTCGACTGCTGCTCTTTTGGCACAACTTCCGCAATTGCGATTAAAATCTCTACCGTCAATAACCTAACACTGTCCTGGTCGTCATTCGCGAGGTGCTGGAAAAGGGGTATCATTTCTTCGACAACAATCGTTGCAGGCATCTCCTTGACAAACTTTGACAGGTTGTTTGATGACTGTCTTCTCACCATCGGCGTCTCGTCGTGGACAAGGAGTCCAAACTGCTGGCGCAGTTGCTCCTGCATCGGGGGCGAAGCCTTCTTGTATGGAACATTATAGAGGCCGGTGGCCGAGATTTTTGATGTGAACCAGTCGGCCTTGGAAAGTCGGATCGTAAGTGGAATGAAGTACTCCTCGACCTGGTTTGGTGACAACTCCTCGCAAATCTTATTCAACGACTCCACTGCCTACGCGCATGTATTAGCTACAGTTGTTTGTAATGTGTCGCAAAAGATTGCTTACCTTGTCACGGACAAGCGGTTCTTCGATCGCAGCAAGATTCTCGAGAGGTGAAAGTAGAACATGACCCCACTCTGGACCCCCAACGTACTCCACGAAGTTCCCGAGCTCTGCGCTCAACGCCGTAAGAACTTCGTCCTCATCCTCTACGGACTCTATAACCTAGAATCAGCAGGTGTTCTGACATTATATTTCCGTGTAATGCACATACCATCTAAGAAGGGGATCAGCTCGTCTCTTGTGCGTTCTGGGCCAAGCGCGAGAGCGATTGTCGAAAGTCTATGGATTGCATTCAATCGAAGCAAAACGTCGTCGTGCTGTATGCATGTGTTAACCATTTGCCCAGCCTGTCGCTCTACTGGCTTCTAAAAGGATGTTATATCAACATACCTTCAACTCGTCAATGAGCACAGCTATTGGGTAGAGCTCCTCCGTCTTATCTATGCCTTCGGCCATGCTGAGAAGCTATTGGGGATCTAACGTGCCAAGTTGAAGACACCGCTAGTTGAGCTCGAGGCAGCTATTAAATCCGCTTTGGCTTCGAGTGCGGTGGTGAGAGGGTCTGTCCTGATCGCGTGTCGGAGGCGGCTGCTCTCTGAAAGTGGGGTGATAGCAGACAATGTTGCTATCTTCGTGGCTATATGGGACAAGATAACTGTAAAGGAAGAGTCTACACGCGTCAGCTTATGTGCAAGGTATTGTCATATGGCCATGAGGTTCAGTGTAGATAGAGGCGGGGTCTTGGAATGTAATGATGACGGTGGGTTGGGGTTGTAGCCGCCCCCATATCAGGCCAGCGAGCCCTACACACAAAGCTGGTGGTGGGCGGGCAGAGGGGTAACACGAACCTGTACAGCTTCGCCCAATTGTTGAGATGTTATATTCGACTATGCACAGGGTTGTCGTTTCTCGTTGGTATGTTTGGGCTGTATATTGAAGTCAAATATCCGGTGTACCTTGTTGTGTCTTAGCATGCGAATTAAAGGTGGAAGTTGGTGTGCACGGACCACTTAATTTTGACGACGTTCAGAGTTCGACATTGACTCAGCGCATGATAAAAAGAGCCAGAACGCGCCGGAGATAACCACAGGTGCGCCAACAATTCTGTGCGCTCCTGGATATAAATTCGATCTTGCCACTTTACATTCGAACATATAGGCTGATCACTTTCTGCAAAAATGCCTACCATCAGCGTTGACAAAGCGGAGTTGTTCAAGGCTCTTGGCCGAGAGTGAGGGGTCCTTGTGGGATAACCCAAGAAAAACTTTACTAACTACTACTCTCATAGATACACCACCGATGAATTCGAAGAGTTATGCTTCGAGTTTGGAATCGAACTTGACGAGGATACCTCGAATAGCCCACGGCCGATCGTTAACGGCAAGGAGGAGGCACCACAACTTAAAATCGAGATCCCCGCAAATCGCTATGATATGCTGTGTTTCGAGGGGATTGCCCTCATGCTGCAGATCTTCCTCGGGAAATTCCCATTGCCAAACTACAAGCTGGTGACTCCGGCGAGCGGAGAGTTACAAACCCTCACAGTGTCGAAGGAGACCGCAGAAGTGCGCCCATATGTCTCAGCAGCCATCTTGAGGAATGTCACCTTCACACAAGCAAGCTACGACTCTTTCATTGCACTTCAAGATAAGCTGCATGCCAACTTGGCCCGTAACCGGACTCTGGCATCCATCGGCACTCACGATCTCGATACGCTCCAGGGACCCTTCACATACGAGGCGCTGCCACCAAAGGATATCAGCTTCATCCCTCTGAACCAAACCAAGAAGCTGAACGGCGAGGAGCTTATGCAGTTCTACGAGACTGACAAGCACCTTGGCAAGTTCCTCCACATCATCCGTGACAAGCCAGTATACCCTGTTGTCTACGACTCGAAGAGGACCGTCTGCTCGTTACCTCCCATCATCAACGGAGAGCACTCCAAAATCACACTGAAATCGAGGAATGTCTTCATCGAGTGCACAGCAACAGACAAGACCAAGGTCGAGATTGTAAACAACATTGTGGTCTCGATGTTCTCGCAGTACTGTGCGGAGCCTTTCACAATCGAGCCAGTCAAGGTTATTTCAGAGCACAATGGTGAGACCAGGATCACCCCAGATCTTACCTACCGCCGCTTTGAAGCAGAGGTCGACTATATCAACAACTGCTGTGGTCTCTCAGAAACCCCTGAACGCCTCTGTGAGCTCCTCACCAAGATGTGCTACAAGGCCACCCCTTCCTCGACCGACAAGAACATCCTCGACGTCTCCATCCCGCAAACCCGTGCTGACGTCCTGCACCAATGCGATATCATGGAAGATGTTGCCGTCGCCTACGGCTTCAACAGACTCCCAAGGAGCAACCCCAACAAGTCCGCCACCATCGCCAAACCCCTGCCCATCAACAAGCTCGGCGACATCGTCCGTCTCGAGTCCGCCATGGCCGGCTGGACCGAAGTCATGCCACTGATCCTGTGCGCTCGCGACGAGAACTTCAGCTGGCTCAACCGCAAGGACAACAACACGGCCATCACGCTCGCCAACCCCAAGACCGCAGAGTACCAAATCGTGCGCACCTCGCTCCTCCCCGGTCTCCTGAAGACCATCCGCGAGAACAAGAAGCACAGTCTGCCGATCAAGGTCTTCGAGGTCTCAGATGTGGCTTTCAAGGATGAGACTCTCGAGCGCAAGGCCCGCAACGAGCGTCACTTTGCTGCTGCGTGGTACGGAAAGACCAGCGGCTTCGAGATGGTCCACGGTCTGCTTGATCGCGTTCTGTTGATGCTGAAGCAGGATTTCCTGATTGCAGCGGATGTGACGAGCAAGAGCTTGGATTACAATGTTTCTGAGAACCCGACAAAGCAGAACGGATATTGGATCGAGGAGATCAACGAGGAGACCTTCTTCGCTGGCCACGCAGCCGCCATCTGGCTCCGGATAGATGGGAAGGAGGCGAGGGTTGGAGAGTTCGGAATCCTGCATCCTACCGTGCTTGAGAAGTTCGAGCTGAGGTAAGTTTCTAAAGACGCCTTTCAGTCCCAATTTGCCACTAACTATTTTTCAGATATCCGGTTAGCACGCTAGAGATCAACTTGGAGGTGTTCTTATGATCAAAACGAAAAATAATGTGCACACGGAGATATATGGATCAGAGCTCTCAAGCTCCAAAAGCATCGCATGTAGTATCACTCATAGCAAGCTAGACCTGAAGTTATGATAATGTGCATGATCAACGCTTTGACTAACTGACATGTCGTCTTACAACGCGTTTTTAAAACCCAATTCGCTGCGTAACTCCTTAATCGCTGTCCAGACTATCTACGTCTAACCCAGTTTTCATATGTGCCCAATTATCAATACCGTTATTTCATTGCATCTCAACATCCGATTCCTCTTGGTTCCGTGAAGCAGGGATTCTCGATCCTAATCCACCTTGTGATTGCGCTATACCCCCAATGCTTAGGTTTGATAACGAGCTTCGAAGGCCGGAAAGTCCAACTGCGTTGCCGCTATTGAGCTGCCTCGGACTCGAATTAACGGCAGTGTCCGGTTTCAGATCGCCACTAACCACGTCTGAATTCGCCGTCTCAACCTCGGTCAAGACTCCCGTACTGGCGTCTCGAGATGTAGATTTCTGGTGAAATTGCTCTACAGGGGGGATGCTTGGCCCATTCATCTCTTCGTCTGTTTTACCAAAAAGCTCGAACCACCATTTCACCTCCTCAAGACGAGGAAATAACAAACGCTCTTTACCCCTGACATGGTCGTCCAGCACGCCGCCGTCCCAATCAGGATTTAAAAATTTGGCACGGTCCGCTAGGATGTAGTCCCATACACTTCTGGTCAGTTTAGAGACTTGCGCATCCAGGCGGGCCTTTTCATTGTTGTGCAAAAATGTACCGTACTGGCAAGAGTATGTATGGTAGAGGAGACGTCTCAGGAAGTGCTGGTTGAACTCAAAGCGCTTCGGATGTTGCCTTAAAAGTTGGTACACTGCATCAAGAAACTGATGAAATACAGGACTCGTTTCGTTCTCTTTAGTTGCCTCCTCTTCCTCAGGGGTACCTTTCGCGGGCGCACGGAACAAACCAGGCGTCTCTTCATATATTGGCTCACCATCCGAATCAACCTCATCGGTGGGGGTTCTCTTCGTGAAAAACCTCTTGGTTTTCGCCAGGGCATTCTCAATTGTCTCATTCCGAGGCGTTTCATTCAATCCTGGTTGGACAGAAGAGCCTGCAAGACCATCGTATTCGGTCGTAAACCACTTCTCGGAGTTGAGATATCCATTTCTATGTTGAAACATATGACCAAACGCCAGCCAGTCCTTCTCTATCAATACTATAAAACCATCTAAAGTGCGATAGTATGGATCCAGCATTATTTGCGACAAGGCGCTAAGTTGGCTGGTTCTATCCCATCCATCGGAACAGTGAATCAAGACGTGTGAGTGGTGGATGCCGACCTGTCTAGCAATGAGTGCAGAGCCGTCCAATATGTTGGCAATGTGCTTGAGCCAGTTACTCTTCGCAAGGAGCTCGCGATTCGGTGGCAATGGTGTCAGGTCGCCATCTTTAAGAGCTTCTACAACTTTCCGTAACGAATTCCGCATAACGTGGATGTTGTCAATTCCAAGATACGCCTTCGCCGCAAACTTATAATTGTCCATATTTTCAGAGCCAAACCCTGCGGCATGCTGGGCTAAAGCATTCACTGTCGGACGTGCGTCAACAATGAGGTTGCGGCGCTGCGCGCCGTAGATACGCGGCTGATCTCCGTCGTCGTCTGCGGTAGCAATCATCATGTCTTCCAACTTCTCTATATCTGTCTCAGCCATGTTGGCATCTTCGGGGGTTATTTCAACAATGTCGAGTTGGCTCGCAGTTGGGCTAGACCGGTTCTCCGGTGTCGAGCCAGCTGAAAGGTTATCAGAGGCTGAAAAACAGGCGCCAACAAGCCTCTCATCCTGAACGCTTCGGGCTGAGCGAATGCCAACGCCTGGCTGTGCGCTCCGTGTAATGGAGCAGTTATTAACTGGGTGTAGGTATGTTAAGGCTGGTATGCGTGCTTTTGAGCGGAATTTCGCAGCGTAGTTGAGAACATTGTCTGATATGCTGGTAGGCACCACAAGTAAAGCCGGGTATGTCGGTGAAAACACATAGTCTGAATTTATGGTCGAGATCCTCCAACCCCGATCGATGCCTTTCTCGCTGATCCCTTGTCTCTTCCACTCCGCCCTCGCATCATATATCTCCCACCCCTTGATCGGGTCTTCTCTTGGGTTGCCCTTGTAACGGTAGGCATAAAGTTTGTTGATCCTCTTTAGGCGACAAGTCAAACCTTTAATGGTTTCAAAGACGTCCTTAGCCTGGGCGGGATCATTGAAGTTGAAAGTAATGGAACTAAAGTCTCGGCCCCGTATGCGAATGTTGGAGGGAATGGCGGAGCCGGGAGCGGTTGGACGGAAGGTGCAGCGTGAAATAATGTGATATGTAATCCAAAACTCGCTCGTCTTTTGTGCCAGAGGGTTCCCCTCTTTCAGATTTATCCGTTTGCAAGAGTATATGAGGTGGTGGTTCGTCAAATGAAGTGTGCCTTTGAATTGCTGCCCGCCGTTGCTGAGCGCCTGAACCCCCTCAACCTGTAGTTCAAATTTAGTCTCAAAGTCGTATTACGGCTCTGACAGAGTACTAACCTTGGGGATTTTAATTTTCTCCATGATAGAAATGATTGCTATTGTTGATCGGAGGAAAGGGGCCGGATCTGAGAACTGTTGCGCAGTTGGGCCTGAAGGATTGTCGTCGCCTTGGAATCAAGAAGACATAACACTTGCTTGGCAAGCTTGTATTAACAGAGCGAAAGTAATAAAAAGTATTGATACAGAGTCCTCGAGATTGAGGCCCAACGAAAGAATAGTGTTCAGGAGGGAGAACAGGAAGAGCCCGAGTTGGGTTGTTGTATTTTGATATGCCCCTCAGTCAGCGACCATTGCTCCTGCCCCCCATCGTCCTTGTATCCGGCGAGGTTACCACAAGGCTCGCCCGCGCTAGTGTATTCTTATCTTAGCGTGTTTTTGGTCAACAATGAGGCTTATCACTTATCGCCCACGGCGAATTCTCGGCAGAGAATAAGGGTTACAGGGGATGCGTAGCCCTAAATGTCCCAACCGGTCAATCGCGAAAGTTGAACGAGGTGTTCCTATCGCCGCGCCGACTCCATTTCCACCCCACGACCATCGACGACCAGCAAGTTTTGAACCTCACACACAGGTTCAATTCACTCTCACAAACCACAATCATGGCTTCCGGTGTCCCAGGTGCCGCTATGTATGCATTCCCCGTCACCCAGCTGGAGAAAAAAATATTATAAAAAGTCGGAAGTGCGCAATGGAATCATGATCGCTAACAGATTTCTTCTACAGCTCCAAGAGGAGGAAGTTCATCGCCGATGGTGTCTTCTACGCCGAGCTGAACGAGTTCTTCCAACGCGAGCTTGCTGAGGAGGGATACTCCGGTGTCGAAGTCCGCGTCACCCCCACCGTCACCGACATCATCATCCGCGCAACTCACACCCAAGAAGTCCTCGGAGAGCAGGGACGTCGCATCCGCGAGCTCACATCCCTGATCCAGAAGCGCTTCAAGTTCCCAGAGAACTCCGTCTCCCTCTACGCCGCCAAGGTCCAGAACCGTGGTCTCTCCGCCGTCGCCCAGTGCGAGTCCCTCCGCTACAAGCTCCTCAACGGTCTCGCCGTCCGTCGTGCCTGCTATGGTGTCCTCCGCTTCATCATGGAGTCTGGCGCCAAGGGTTGCGAGGTTGTCGTTTCCGGTAAGCTGCGCGCCGCTCGTGCCAAGTCCATGAAGTTCACCGACGGATTCATGATCCACTCCGGTCAGCCAGCCAAGGACTTCATCGACTCCGCTACCCGCCACGTTCTCCTCCGCCAGGGTGTCCTCGGTATCAAGGTCAAGATCATGCGTGGATCTGACCCTGAAGGAAAGTCCGGACCAACCAAGTCCCTCCCCGACTCCGTCACCATTATCGAGCCAAAGAACGAGGACCCAGTCGTCCAGCCAATGTCCCAGGATTACGGTGCAAAGGCCCAGGCTGCTCAGGCCGCCGCTGAGGCTCAGCGTGCTACCGAGCAGGGTGAGGGTGAGGCTGCTGCCACTGAGGAGCAATAGGTCATTGGTGTCTGATATCGACGGGCGTGTGGGTCATTTGCATTCGAGCTTTACGGTATATCCTGCCGGAGGCTTGTACCGTTACAATAATTGAACGGGTTCACAAACAAAAGATTATGACGTGCCAATGAATATGTGAAGTTTCCACAGACTAGAACCTTTTTTGTCTTGCTTTTTATGTGCAGTGCTATCACCAGGCCTAGATTTTAGAAATTTGATCATCGTTGTACGCTTATGCCATATAACTGATGTATAAGTACATTTAACCCAAAATGCGAGCTGTGTAGTAACAGTAGCACCCCCTAACGCCATAGCCTCATGCATCGTCTCGATATATATACGGAAATACTCACGTGGAGGCCTATCCTCCTTACTACCATACCAATACATTCCCTGTTCCCGGTAACCAAGGCCGTTCCAGATTCCACCACCCAAAGGCCATATACAATATGAACCCGGACATATGCGTCGTAAATTCCCTCCCTTACAGCCTCGGCGAGCGCATCGGTGATCGCATTGGCGACCGCGGGCCACCACCTCTCGACGAGCGTGAGCTATTTCGAGATACATCGATCGGCTTGATGAAATTGCCATTGGCCTTCGCCTTGGATTTTCCATTGAGTCGTAGGGGGGCATCATTCTCGCTCTCCTCGGTCAAGTCGTTCAGGCCCACATTCTCCTCGTCATCATACGAGCGAATAAGCCCGTCTCGGTCACTTCGACCGTAGCCGCTGCCAATGCTGTGTCTGGCAGGGTCACCAACGCTCCTTCGCGCTTGCATGCTTCGCCTTGTCTGAATGCTGGAGATCATGTCTGTAGCGATGCCATCGGTTCCTTGCCCACTCAGCATCCTGTGACCATTTGGGTCATCTCTTGACAGGTTCAGCAAGTATACACCAGTGAAGATGGTTAGGAAGCCGCAGAGAAGAGAGATCGTGTTGACCGCATTAGTCGTGTTGAAGCCTCCGAATAGGATGAATGAGGCACATAGTGTAGCCGTGGTGAATGTAACATAGTACACCGGGTTGACACTATAAACCGTATGAGTAAGTAATCGGATAGGGGCATTGGGTTCTGGACTTACATGGAAGTTGGGAATTGGCTTAGAGCCTTGTTGAAGTAGTTCATCTGTGTCAGAATGCAAACTGCAGTGACAATCATGAAGACGTATGTCGATGGGTGCGAAAATTGATTTTTGCCCGCAAAAGTCAACTTCAATGCAATGCCGAATGCCTTCACCGACATCACCGAAATGGATCCGACGGTAGAGCAAATGGAGATAAACACCAGCGGGTTCTTGCGCCCGTATCTTGGCGCAACCTTGTAGATCATGACAGCGGTGAAGACGCCGACAATCAGGCAGTAAAGCATGAATCCTGATGGAAGGGTTAGGAGTGAAGCAACGAGTGCCGGAAAAGAGACTCACCTGGTTGAATCGCATAGTGCAGAATCTCGTCGACAGTCTCAATTTCAGCATCCGGAGGCGCGTGAAGCACAATGATAACTGATCCGATGAGACAAATCGCACAACCCAATTTTCCCAGTGTTCCAAGCTCTTCCCTAAGGAAGTATGACCCGAGAACGGCGCCAATTAAAACGCTCAATGCTCCTAATGGAGTGACTAAAATGGCTGGCGCGAATGCGTATGCTGCAAAATTGGCGATCTCCCCAAGAATCACTAGACACGTCAGAAATGGAAAAACTCAGTGGAGCAAAAGGTCATACTTGTAATTATGCCAGCCCACCATATTGGACTCTTGAGGTATGTGAATCCTTCTCCTTCAAACCCAAGATGCTCTTCTGCGTGCATCAAACCCTAGGTAGTGTCAGTATTCGGATCGTAATGTGGACTTGCCTCGGTAACAAGTTCGTCGGGAGCGTGGCGTACCATTTTCGTAATAACGAAACTCGTGCCTAAAAAACCCCGATTAGCTACGTTGCCATCATGATGTATACGCATCGCTCACCTATCATCAATGTGGACGCGACGGCCAAAGCCAATCCGATATATCTACACCATGACAATCAGCCTCGAATTCCCCCACAACGCGCCAGCGCAAGACGCCGGTGCTCGAATTCCAGTTGACGTACTTGTCCTCTATCATCTTGGAGGCAGGTCGCTACGGCGACACGTGGGATGGGTGTGTAACGTGTGTGAGCTTGCGCTCGAGTCTTAGGAAGCTGCTTCAACGGTTGCCGGGGGACGGAGCAATAGAGCCCAGTGTTCGAGCAGGAGCGTCTGCAGACAGCTCGACGTTAAGGTAGGCCTCGCAGGAGCGTGTCGATGATGGTGTTCGGTATGCGACTCTCCATGCGGAGGGTTTGTTGTCCCCTTGCGATTCAGTCGAGGCCTTCTTGCCGAGCAGGGGCCTCGAGAACTTGCGCGTCCGGGATGGTATTAAGAGATTTCGGGTCCGCGATGGCTGGAATTATCGCTGGGCGTCGAAGCTGTTCCCGCGACGGTATTACTCGTGGCAAAGTTGGTTGATAGTCGAAGTTATGTATGAGGGGTCAGTCCAGACAAGAATTCTGGCTTCTTGCCGTTCTCACAAGGACACCAGGAACATCGCGGTTAAGCGAGTTGAAACATGGCCCCTGCACTCCAGGCCCCTTACGCTCATTTATACTCGTACGATTAGCGTCAATTTGATTTACAGTACGTACGAAGATCTATTCAATAAGTTCGTGGATTAGTATATTACGTATGCTACTACAACGGTAATTTACAGTAGATATCACTGTTGTATAGCATTCGGTCTTTAGCAGCAATTAAATATTTGGGCTCCATGGCCTCGCCTTCAGTGTATGGGGATTAACATTCCGTAATTGTGGTATGAATCGCAATTCACGTGAAGCTAAACTTTGTAGTCCAAACACAGCCTCCATCGTCCCCACATTTCAATACCGATAGGGCAAATTCCTCCCCAGCGCTCGAGGACGCGCATGCGATCCACTCCACCACGGCCCGCCAATACGATACATATGGAAGTGGCCAGGATCTCTCTTTCCTCATCGATCTTATTTCCGAGAGAAGAAGTTTGTATGCTCCATCCCATTCCCAACTCCATCCGCCCATCCGAGAAACCCATTTTGAAGCCGTGCAATGCAAATGAAGAAGCAAGAAAACGCAGAAAAGACCAAAAAATGCTCTCGCACTTGCTTAGAGCTTTTCGCAGTGGCGAAAAGTGGAGGCCTTATAGATATTACAAGATTTTGATACAAACGAAGAAGGGGTATTGAATGATTAATGGGAAAGCAGGGGGTAAAGGGGTGCAGTGTCAGTGTGATGAGTAACATACCTATGCGAATTAGCGATCAACTCGCATTTTCCATCCATAACCTCGTCGATGTCAGATATGTCGATGTTCTGTGCTAGAGCAGCAGATCATAATGGCGGTGTTGGTTACTGACGTGCACTTCCAGAGTGCTCGAGCTCCTCTTCGGGGAAATGTAATGGCCAGTTCTCAAGGCAAACAAGTTAGGATGAGGACGTTGATAGTCATGCGTAAGCACATCATTGACGTATAAACAAGCATCTCCGATCATGAACGGGGACGCTTTGCTTCTGTTCTGAGGTTAGCAGGTTGTTCTATTCGAAGTGGGCTGTAAATCCTACCTTGACCGTCAATACCATTCGCCTCCCCATCCTCCTCATGTGACCTCTTCCCTGGTACCAGTGATTTCGCAGGTGTCGTGGGTCCTGAGCCTACAAACAGGCTAACCTCGTCGTCATCTTCATAATCGATCTCATCCGTCTCCTCTTTATGGTTCTGGTTGGAGCCTGTTACCGCAGGTTTATCATCTGCCTCGTCGTTCTCAACGAGAGCAGACAACGACCCATCAACATCGTCGTCTTCGTAACTTATTTCACCCCCTTCATTCTCCGCGTTTTTATTATTCTGGGTGTCAGAAGCTGTCGCCTCGGTATCAATGTTAATATGGCCTGATTCTTCGCCATGTTCTGTTTCGCCATTTGTCTCTTGAACATGGCCATCTTCATTTTCAACGTAGTAAGATGCATCCACCTCGTCTTCATATGGGACTTCTCTCTCGTATTCTCCATTGTCTTGATGCTCATGTTCATCAGCGCCGGCTTCAAAATCTTCGCCCACTTCAACTTGATGCTCACTCTCCTCAGCACCAGTTTCAAAGGTTTCGCCAGCTTCGGCTTGATTCTCATTCTCATCAACACCAGCTTCAAAACTTTCGTCTACTTCAGCTTGATGGTCATATTCATCACCAGCAGCAGCTTCAAGATCTTCGCCCACTTCGGCTTCTTGGCCAATATTCTCATTAGTAGAGGCAACATCATTTGTGGAATCTACAGCCCCATTCACACCTCCAGGGACATCTATACTCGGTTGTGCAGTAGCATCAGTTTCATTTGCTCCATCAATTGTTTGCGAGCTCGAACGCCGGCTCTTATCGGGAATTTCATCGGCAACTTGGTGTTCCGCTGCAGGGGCTAGTCACAGTTAGAAGATGAACATCAGAGGGTGTGGAAGTGAAGGTAGAAATAAATTCAGACATACCAGGTTGTTCGTAGTCGGTCTGCTCCTGCTTTGGGGCAGTTTCGACTACATTCCCGCCCTGCGCGTAATCTTCGTCGTCGTAGTCAATAAGATCACCACCTCCTTCCTCTTCTTCATGGTTGCCATTTGCTTCGGGTTTGGTCAATTCCGCATCATGCTTCTCGTTCGTTGGCTCACTTGGCTCATTTTCCTCCACCACGGTAGGAACTTCGGTTGTGTCAGGTTCAGCTACATCTGAAGTCGTAGGTTTTTCTTCTTCTGTCGGTGCCTCCAGGGCAGGGGATCCTGGAGAAATATCTTGGACAGAACCAACTTCTGTCCAATCTTCTCCCAGTTCAAAATTTTCCAGGTGTTCACTTCCGTCGGCGTCAACGCCATTAATATCGTATGCCTCTGACTCTCCCCAAAGCTCCAGTCCGTTATCCTCGTTCCAAGACTTAGCTACCTCCTGTAGTCCTTTACCTTGCCGCGCATCCTCAGCTAAATTTGCAAAAAATCGACCAAACTCAGATTTAGTTGCTAGAGTCACGAAGAGCGATGGCAAAATGTCCGCGCCATCGTTGCGAACAAGGGTGGTGTGAAGATCCGCGATTTGAGAAAACGATATTTCGCTATTAGCAGTAGAAGTCTAGAAACGGTCAGTACATAGCCGCAGATATTCGGGCGGATTACTTACTTCACAGGTTTCCAATCCCAAATCATCGATTGTGAACACTAGTTCATCACCAGCAGGAATTTCGTCATGGAGGATGTCTCGCAGGACAGCAAAAAGGGCAGATAGTGGTTCCTTCAGCACAGATGAATCTTTCAAGAAGTAGGAATCTGGGTCATCGGACTCAGACGATGCCACCAGCGCGTATTCAGAACCTTGATAGCCCACGGTGATATTACGCTCCTCAGATATCAAATCTTGTTCAACATTCACCTTCTGTCCATTCTCATCAACGTTGGATGCTTCGCCATTTTCTTGTTCTTGCTCCTGTTCTTCCGGGACTTGGGGTGGGCTTGGTGGGTTTATATTTTCCACTTCCTGTGGTTTCTCATTTGATACGGGTGGTGATTCCTTATGAATGGTGGGAGACGGTGTCGGTTGTGCTGCAAATTCTTCAACTATTTTAGAAACTTCTTCAGGTTGGAGTTCTTCAGCTTGAACAGCATCTGCGAAACTTATCGTGTCATCCGCAGGCTTAATATCTGTGTAACGGTCCTCACTCTGGAGTGGGCTCGGGGCGGCGTTGGAGGGAAAGGTATGTTCCTCAGTATCGTGGGGCCTCAGCATTTCCTGTTCGGAAACCTCAATCGTCTCCGTGTCAATGACATCCTGGAGCTCCTCTTCGGGCACATAATCAGCATCTTCCATGTTATAGGATGCATTATCTTCATCAAGCATCACATCATCGTTGTTTGTGCCTGCTTCTGATCTGGCGTCTTCAATGATGAAGTCCTCATCGTGATTTCCGGGCTCGATGTCTATGTTGATATCGATATCATCGTCGACATCCTGCCCGTCGTAGGAGATCTCCATTTCGTCGACGACCATTTCGAACGCACCGGGCCTGGGGCAGCCGTGTTATCTGTATCAGAGTGTATCGAAATACGGCAGCACCACAGAGTTCTATATATCCTTGTTTTAGATGCTTAAGCTATCTTGAGAGGCGTAAATGGGCTTTCGGTTTGGATGTGGCTCATTGGTAATAATCAAACTTCGCCTCCGGTGGTATGATGTTGGTAGGTCGGTCTCGTAGTCACACGGTGAACAAGATGCTTCAGGCACTATTCACCAGAATTCACCAGAAAAGCTGTCACGTTCACCTTGCAGGTTGATGGTGGCGAGAGGTGGCTGGCGAAGGGTGAAGGGCGAAGTTCGAGATATAATAATTCTAGAACAAAGAACCTTCAGAGGGCGACAGTAGTTGGCGGTGTTCGTGTAATAGAAGACGATTCTCATTCATCAATCTGGAATAGTATTATAGAAACGTGTATATTCCCAGATGGAGAAGAAGAGAAGCTGTCTTCTTGAGTGAATTTGTGGCGTTCTGGAGCTCTCTGGGCGTGGTTAATTGAAAGGTTGGTGGACGTGTTTAGGCCACCTCAGAATCACGTGTTGCGGGTCGGATTAACCCCCTGCAACTGAGCTCCCACCGACCGTGTCCACAAATGCGAGGTGCTCCTGTGAATTAGGACATGACAAACACCAGGACAACTGCCTTTTCATAAGCCTTGTTTACAGACTAATCAAGATGGTCAGTGTATCTGCCTATGTTTTCTTTGGAGCAAACCCTCTAACTATCGATGGCAGGTCGTTCTCGCAGCGTCAATCTGCACCCGCGGGGGGAAGGCGATTGTCTCACGTCAGTTCCGTGAGATGCAGCGCTCAAGAGTGGAAGCCCTGCTTGCGGGATTCCCAAAGCTGGCGGATAGAGGAACCCAGCATACGACAGTAGAGCAGGACAATGTGCGCTTCGTTTACCAGCCTCTCGACGAGCTCTACATGGTGCTCATCACCAACCGCCAATCCAACATCCTCCAGGACATCGACTCTCTCCATCTCTTCGCGCAAGTTGTCACCAGCATATGCAGGAGCTTGGATGAGCGTGAGATCTTGAGGAACGCTTACGAGCTGCTGAGCGCCTTTGACGAGATCGTCACACTGGGATACCGCGAGAACCTCTCGATCAGCCAGATCAAGACATTCTTGGACATGGAGAGTCACGAGGAGCGCATCCAGGAGATCATCTCCCGCAACAAGGAACTCGAGGCCACGGAGGAGCGCAAGAGGAAGGCAAAGCAATTGGAGATGCAACGAAAGGAGGTCTCGAGATCCGGCCGAAACGCCCCACCACGGGCTCCCAACTACCCTACATACACTCCAGCTGCGCGGACGCCTACTACCGAAACCTACGACTCCTATGAGGCAGAGAAGAATAAAACATACAAGGCTGCTGCACCAAAGGGCAAGGGCATGCAGCTGGGGAAGAAGTCGAAGACTACAGATATGTTTGAGCGCGTCCGTGGTGAGATGGGAGTCGAGGCTGAGGACACCTCTCCTTTGGTTCCTGTCCAGACCCCAACTGCGCCAGCTGGACACGCACGCACCAGCAGCTTGCAGTCCGGCCTGGACAGGGATGCTATCCACGTCACAATCGCCGAGACCATCAACGCCAAGTTGACGAGAGAAGGCTCCGTAACGTCGATAGAGGTCAAGGGTGACCTTCAACTAAGAATATCCGACGAGTCATTCACCAAGGTGAAGCTCGACTTGACCGCAAATGCAAGCCATGGCGCTCAATTCAAGACCCATCCTAATGTGGACCGACCCCTTTTCAACAGCTCAAAGGCTATCCAGATGAGCAACGCTTCGAAGGGATTCCCTGTTAATAACTCTGTCGGCGTGCTGAGGTGGAGAGCTACACCAAAGGCTGATGATAGCAGCGCCATCCCCATTACCTTCACCGTGTGGGTGAACAAGGGCTCGGACAGCAATTATACCGTTACCGTGGAGTACGAACTTACCGGAGGTGATGCATTAAAGGACGTCAGTGTCATCATCCCGTTTGCCACCAGCGAGCCCGTGGTTGCCAGCTTTGACGCCACATACGAAGTATCGGGTGATAGCTTAGAATGGACTATTGGAATGGTTGACGACGACAATGGAAGCGGCTCTTTCGAATTCGAAGCTCAAGCTCACGACGAGAATGAATTTTTCCCAATGCACATCAAGTTCTCCAAGACGACACCATATATCGATGTTGACGTAAGTTCCCTTCCCCATATCCGGATATCTTCATTTACTTACACTTTATAAGGTCACTGCTGTGTCGCTGGTCGAGATGGATGAGGAGGTCACTTTCTCGAAAGAGATCAAGTCGATTACAGAGTCATACGTTATTGAATGATTTGACCATGTATTGAGCGTTACGAACGTTTCTTTAATCAGGGAGCATGGCGTCGAAGGCTGCAGGCTCTTTGAAGCTAGAAATCAATGTCGATATCACGTAGAAAAATAGATGAAGCGTTATCGATTTATGAATGATGTGTTGAGTTCATGACGCGTCGGTCCAGTGTTGGCCGTGACATTTTATGACTAAAATTGATCTCATATAAACTCGGTTTCTAAATAAATCTCGTAGCAGTAGAAGCAATTAATATTCAAAGTTTCGTCGTTGCTGTCCCTCTCCTTTCTTCCCACCATCCCCAATCGAAGAACTCGCTTAGCAAACTGAATAAACAGACATGACGCGCCTGCCCGGCTTAGAATTATACACGCCCCAACCAAGTGAAAAGATGTGCTATAAATTCCCCTCGATAAAAGCGCTGGCATGATACCCATACCCAATCCCACTATTTAAAATCACAACCTCCCCATAATGGCGAACCCAGTGCAGCTGCGGGTCATCGCCGAAAAGACCCTGCACTCCCCCACCAACCCCGACCTACTGGCCTACAGCCCGTCTATGGAATTATTGGCCATCGGCGGCGCAGACCACAATGTCCTCATCTACCGCCTTAACGGGCAACGAGTGTTCAGCGCGAGTCAGAAGGTGAAGGGCGTGGTGTTGGATCTCCAAAAGCTGGTGTGGAAGCCCAATGGTATGGCCCTATCCAGACTCTCCCATTCACAACATCACTGACATTGATTACTAGGCCAACTAATTGCCATTGCCTGGAGCGATGGGACCGTCCGGTTGATAGGCGCGGAAAGTAATAAGACGGTGCATCAGATCACTGTATCAGAGGAGGAAGACACGGAAGTCACGTGTTTAGCCTGGACGACGTACTCGGCAACGTCAAAGTCTCTAGGAGACATCCTGTCCGAGGCCGGGTCATTGTGGAAAGATGCTACTGAGGGAGGATTAAAAGGGAAGAGTGCCCAGCTGCTCGACCTCCCCCGAGATCTGGCCGCTATAGACATCGAATCCAGCCTGCCCAAGCTCAGCGTCCTACCAAGCGGGGGAACCACGTACGCCCCCCTCTCTTCCAATCACCAACCTAAGGAGAGAGAGACTTTACTAACACGCAAACAGCGAAGACATCTTCAGCTCACGTGCCTCCCTCGACGCCCTCTTCCGCCCCTTCGACCCCAAAGACAACGACTCCATCTCCATAATGGTCGTCGGCACCTCCACCGGCCACATCCACCTCACGATCTTCGACTCCTTCGTCATCGGCACCTTCCCCTCCCCCCTCAAATCCTCCAAAACCTCTCGACATCAGCTAATCCGTCACGCCTCGCACCCGCATCACGCTGTCCATGGACTGCTCATGAAATCCACATCCACCTTAGTTGGGGGCCTCTACTTCGTGCCTATGCACTTGGGGTTCTTGACGAGCGAGAGGAGTGATCTGTCGCTGTTAGCGTCGAGGTCGAGCGCGTTGCAGAATTTGTTGAGGTATATATATCAGGTGCAGACGCTGATGACGGCGGAGTACCAGGCGACGCAGGATTTACCATCGAGGTTTTTGGGGAATATAGATGAGACGCTTGCTGAGCATGGGGATTGGACTATAGCTCCCGCTCTGTACCATCAAGTCGTCACCGGTCATACCCTTCCAGAAGTCAAAGAATGGCTCGTCGACGAATTAGCTGAACGCGTATGTCCCCCTTCCCTCCCCCTCAAGCCAAGCACAATCTAACACCCCCACCCACAGGGCCACAAACGCTGGGACAAAACCCTAACAACCGCCCACACCACCCTCCTAAAACTAACCCACACCCACCTCCTCCCCGCCCTCGAGCGCGCCTCCCTCCTCCTCTCCCGCCTCCACGGCCTAGCATCCTACCACCACCCCTCGCACTCCCCCCTCGGTTTCTCCCCCACACAGATCAAGAACCTGCTTGATACGGTGGCGGCGCTGAATCTGGCCGCGACGAGGGTCCTGGCTACGACGGTGGGGGAGGTGGAGGGCTGGGCCGCGTTTGGGGGGTGGGTTAGGGGGGAGATTGATCGGTTGGCTGCTGGGGAATCTGCGGCGGGGGCGGATGATGATAAGGAGGCTGCAACTGTGCCTACGGCCAAAATCTTGGAGTATATACAGGGATCACTGACGGCCTCGCCGCTGGCGCAGTTCTTCACACCCCTTGATTCCACCGTCGCAGAATCCCACACCGAAGCCCTCTCCACCACCACCCCTCTCTTCCCGATAATGGCAAAGGCGCTTAACTCCCCCGACCCAACGAACGCGTTTCAGAAAGCATTACCGAATATCGCAGCCCTGACCGCTCATCTGGCGACACAGGCGGCGGCGGTGAGTACTGGGATCGCGGAGGCGGAGAAGCGGAATGTGAGGTTTGGGGATGCGGTGGAGGTGGGTGGTGTGGGGAAGGAGGTTTTGGGAGAGGGGGGGAGGGTGGATATGCGGATGTGTAGTGGTACTACTGCTGAGGGGGGGAGGGGGGAGGGGGTGGTGTATATCGCTACCTCCGCTGCTGGATCGGATGCTTTGTCGATACAGCGAATTGCGCTTCCCCAGGGCGAGGAGGGTACCTCCTCCACCAGCAGGGTGAATGTAGAAGTCGGCGGGTTAGTAAAGGATATCGCGTTCCTAGATGAGGAAGTTCTACTGGTTCTCATCGATGGATCGGAATCCAAAGAGGGTGTCTACATCCTCGCACTCCCCTTCCTACCGCTTTCGTACACCGCTAAACCCACTACCGTTCAGGGGATGGGGAGAAGGTTTAGAGTCCAAGAGGGAGCGGAGAGGGTGAGGGTTGGGGGAGGGAGGGTGGTGGTTGTTGAGAAGGGGGGGGTGAAGGTTTTGAAGGTTAAGGGGGAGGTTTGGGGAGATGGAGAAGGGGGGGTGGAGGAGGTGAGGGGGATGGGTGGGGTGGGGAAGGAGGAGGTGAAGGGGAAAGAGGGGGGAGGGGGGGATGAGATGGAAGTTGAGGGTTAGATATGGCGAGGATGGAGGTGTTGAGGAGGGCGGTGTCACGGCGGCAGGTTTGAAGAAAGGAGCTCGCGTGGACTGGCTAGAGTATAGAAATATAATGATTACGTATATTTGTGTTTCCTTTTGTGTTGCAGGCTTGATATTAGTAATTGGGTATATGAGGGATGGCTGTTTTGAAGTGGGAAGTGGTTATATTTTTGTGGTGTTGAATATTTATTATATATTCCACCCCCCCTTAAAAATATATATATATATTATAAAACAATGCCTTGCCAGATAGTAGTTTTAAGATATTAAGATGAAGACTCTTGATGGGGGTAAATGAACGACGACCTGATGAAATACCCAAAATAGAGATGGAACGACTTTTTTTTTAAAAAAAGGGAAAGAACGACCCGGTTTAGAGAAGAAAAGAGCGATCAGCTCAAGAGAGAGAAGGGAGAAGGAACGACCGACCGACTAACTGAGGAAGGAACGGCTAACAATTGAGGGAAGGAACGACCCTTGAAATATTTTAATAGGGGAAGGAATGACCAACTACTGAAGGAAGGAACGACCGACTAAGTGAGGAAGGAACGACTGTGTAAAAAAGGGAGGAACGATCGTGTGTAGCTGTATTTTATATTTTTCGTTCCTTCCATATATGGATGAGAAGGCTAGTTTTTTTATATTTATACAGCGAGTTAATATAATGAATACAACTCATATTTTTAAGGTTTTCATTTGGGAAATATATATATTTTTCGCTATATTGGTATTGGTATTGGTATATGCACTATAACCATTTCACAACCTCCTGTCTCTTCTCATTCACCACACAACGGATAGGATAGGATAGGATAGGTTATAAAGCAAATCACGATCTACTGCGAGAGAAAGAATATATATATACCCCATGGCACCGCTCGTATACCTACTATGTCATCTCACATCATCTAGAGTATTTAAACGCATAGTACGTCATCTCACACCCCTCGCATCTCACACATACGACCTTACTGCGGACTGCCGGGTGTATATCTCCATACCGAGTCTATATACCGAATCCCACGTCCCTTGGGGTCCGTCCGGCTTACTGCATTTTATCCGGAGCATATACCTTGTCCAGTTTTTCATCTCCAAGGTTTAGTACTGTATGGTAGAGTAGAGTAGAATAGAGTAATCAACCCTGGAGATCTCCCGGAGATATATGTAGTCGCTGGGGGGAGGAGCTATTTATATATAATTTATATATAGAGGTAATGTGGGAGTAATTGGGGGAAAGCATCTACCCCAAACAAACGGTGGAATTCGGATATTACTGTAAGTGAGTGAGTGATCTTTAATGAGCTGCCTCGGCAACCCCGGATTGGGAGTTCTACAGTATTCCCACCACATCCAATCCTCTCTCGGGTACGAATCCTCAACCACAGACCACCCGTCTACTCCGTATATGACGAATACTCATATATGACCAAGGACCCTCCAATATCCGACACCCCAAACCCCCATCGTCGATGTAGCGCGGGTGCAGATCTCGCCTCGCCTCGTCTCGGCCTTCATAAGGCGTACAATATGTACACTCCGTAGAGGGTCCCCGGGTGGATGGTCCCGGGTAAGGCGTCCAAGGGGGAGGGGGGGTTATATCTGAAACTCCCCTGCTTATTAAGACCTGTTGCCTCGGGAGGGTCGAGAGGGGTCGAGACCGGTGAGGCTCTGGGGGGTGATTGTGATCGTCAAAGTGTATTTGTACAAGCAAAGTCAAGGGATAGAAGCTGGCTGGTGGAGGTTGGGTGGAGGTTGGGTGGAGGTTGGAGGTTGGAGGTTGGAAATTAAGGTATGAGGAGGGAGAGGGGAGAGGGGAGAGTGGTGTATGGGGTTGATAGTCTCATCTACCACTCACTGTACAGTACTGCAGTACACGACTCAGTGCGAAGGAACTCATTTCTACAACCAAACCAGGAAATAACCTCCCAACAACCGCTGTGTACGCAATTCCGACGGGGCGAGGCGGAATGTGGACCTCTAACCCACCAGCTGGTGCCTGGCTAACGACAGTAATGTACATACCCGCATTCCGATCCATCATCTTGGTAAGTCCCCATCCGCTTCCCCTTCCCAGTGTAACTCATCCGTCTTCCGCGGGTACATCCTGTAGACGACACCGACCCGAGCAAAGCAAGCTGAAGTATGAAACACGCCATCTTCTCTGTCATTTTCCTCTGTGCACTTGATATTGTTACCGTCATATTCGAGGGTTTTCTTCAAGCACCCTACATGCCGTGTTGCTGGCACCCTGTGGTCCTGTCATACTTGCCGTGCCGTGGTCCCCTGCTTTTGTTCTTTGCATGGCAATGACTAGCTTTTTCCTCTCGTATTTTCTGTCTGGGAGGCAGGAAACTGTCATATCCGCCTTTTGTGAGGTGACTGGTCGATTCTATGCTTACATAATCACCACCCAATGTACGGTTTGGCAGTAGTGGTAGTAGTGAAATTTGACAAGTGGTGTGTGTGGGAAACTGCTTAGGCGAGCCGGCCGGGAGGGAAAAGGGGCAGCGATCTTCTAATTGGCTGGTGGCTGGTGTGGTACGCTAGTTGGGAGTAGACTACGGTTGACAAACCCCACTTCCCCCTGTTATCCCGAGATTCAGGGACAGAGGATGTGGGAAGTGTGGGAAGTGTGGAAGGGGTTGAGATCGGTGATGGGACAGGGCAGGATGGGGGATGAGGAGGGCGACGATTATGGGTAGATTAGCTAGGTGGATGGAGGGAGATGGGAAGTTACACGTAGAAGACGTTGGCGGGTGCACAAACAATATCCAGCTACAGAGTCGGATAGAGGTAAGGTAAGGAGGGAGGGAGGGAGCTTCCTCGGGTACATGACGACGCGCTGGTAAGAGTGATCTGAGACAATCAACGGAGATATCTCAACGCTTTTACTGTGCTACTCTTCAGTGGAGGATAGTACGCGGGTAGAGTAGTTGGTGGCGTGTGGAGTGGTAAACAAGCCACCACTGTTAATCTCCCGCGGACGAGACGGGAGAGGAAAGGAAGTAGAGTAGAGTAGATTAGAGTAGAGTAGTACAGTCCGATGCCCGCTGTATGTCCGATGCCCGCTGTATGTCTGATTTGCCCGCTGTCTGCATGTTATCGGCGTCTGATGTCTGGAGTCTGTCATGTATGGCTCTTGTTTTGTGTCTTGGTGGTGAGTGAGATCCTACACTTCTGGAGTGGTAGTGGTAGTGGTAGGTGGTAGGTGGTAGGTGGTAATCGCTGATGTATGGTTTTTGTGTCTCTCCACCGCGACGCGTGCTATGTGTCTCGTACCTTACAGCGTGCATAAGCGTGCATTACATTACATACATACAAGGACGCACGCTCTGCTCCGGTCGGTAGTGCGTCGGACGCAGAGGGGGATCAACCACTCACAACTGTCAATATGCAGGTCTACCGCGGTAGGCACAGAGGCCGAAACGCGAGATTCCTGTTTCGTGGAGGACTAGAGGACTCCTTTCTTGTGCCTGCCTTATGTTCGTTCTTCCCCTTTCCTCTCTGCTTTACCTTCTCCTTTCCCCTGCGTACCTGCGTCCTTCTACCCGCCAACCATCCCGTTGTAGTACAGCCCGGCTGCGCTGTGCTAGGATTATCACTGTACTCCGTAGAATATTGGCAACAGATGCCGGGTGTGTTATGTTACAGTCGCAAGCACATACGCCCATACATCGGCCGTACATACATCCACCCATCTATCTAGACAAACATACATGGGAGTACTCTACAATACTTCCCATATTACACTTTCTCCCACTACCCTCTTCTAGCGCCCCAATACTCTCCCCTTAGCACTCTTTAGCACTCCTCCACTCTCTAGCACTCCTCCACCTTCGTCGATCGCGAAATTACAGGCCCGTCGCCCTCCTCCACCCAGACAATTCCTATCCCCACTCTGCCACCCACTCTGCCACCCACTCTGCCACCCACTCTGCCACCCACTCTGGTCTGCCACCCACAATCCCACCACCCACACCCGTCCGTACCTGCCTCTTGCCCTGTCTGTACCTGCCTTTGCCTGTCTACTGCCTGTCGTCACCCCCTGTCTACTCCTCCCATTGGAAAAAAATGTCGTGGAGCGGGGGGCTATGATTGCTATGATTGCTGTAATTGCTAGTACTGACCAGTTATCACCCACAGAGACGAGTACTCCACAGAGAGTCAGTCAGTCAGGTACGCACGAAAGATACTCATACTCTACTCCTCTCTGCCAGACTGAGCCTTGTCAGAACTGACCACCCGCTCTTCTGCTTCTCTTCCTTGAAGGCCCCCTACCCCCTAGACAAGCATTGGGGAGGGATCTCCGCCAACACCTCAAAGTACATGTTACTCCGTTACACTTTACACTACCACTACCACTACAAACTATAGTACACCTTAACTTTTTTGCCTGCCTATCCCCATTTTCCCATTTTGTATCTGTGCGCGCGTTTGTGTGTGTAGTGTGGTGCCTGTCTGTCTTGTCGGCTTGTATTTTTTATCTACTACACTTTACTGTACATTATTCTCCCCGACAAACCAAACGACCTCGACCCGACCTCGACAAAAACGACCTTCATTTTCGAACAAATCGCCCTCTCGCAGTCTGTTGTATATACTATTGACCGGAATTGGACATCCCACAGAGACACTGTTCCTCCCGAGTCTCGCAATCCAACTCCACTCCACGTCACTGCACAGCACTGCAGCTCGGACGGCAGACTCAGACTCAGACCCTCCATCGCCAAAGCGAGCCCACGGCCCCCCGTTTGTCCTCGACCGACTGCAGGTGACAGAACGCGAAATTCGCCATACACCTATACACTCACTCTCTCCCCTCGATACTAACTCGATTTCCAATTCGTTTGCTTTGAGGCGTGCAAACGGAGACGAACGAGTGAGTTGACTTGATATATACGACGACGACGTTGCTCTCTCTCGAGACGTTCGGCTGCTTGCGAGACTACACGACTCGACCCGACGACTGGATTACACTCACTTGGCACCGGTACTCGACTATCTACATGACGACGCGGATACATTGCTGCTCTACGCTCACTGCTACGCGTACGAGGGCGTGAGACGGCTGGATTGCCAGTTAGGGATATCTACTTTCGTTGAGAGCTACGATAAGCTCAGTTGAGGAAATATAATTTAAAGGGTGAGTGCAAGCAACTCCCCATCTCCAGCTTCCACCTCCCACCACAAGAGCTAACCCCTCTCCCCAGTCGCAGGCCACAACTTGCAAAACCACACTCACCATGAACCGCTTCCGCACCAAGAAGAAGGCCAAGGCCGCCGACGAGGCGCCCGCCCGCCCCTCCAACGATTCCGCAGCGCCCACATTGACACCCCTGAAACCGGCCATGACATTCCGCAGGAAGAAAGAGAAGAACGAGCCGCCGCCGCGCATGGAGCTCGATCTCGTCAACGCCCTCCCCGCCTCCGACGATTTCAGGACGAGTCTGCTCATGACGGGACTATCAGCCCGCTTCTCCATGCTGCGCGAGCAGGACGACCCGAAGTCGAAGATTGGAAAGGCCAGCGATGATAGTGTGCTCTTCCCAAAGAGACAGTCGCGGCTCAACGATTTCGGCTTCACGCCGCAGGGACTCAGTGATATTGCCGAGGTGGGATCGATCAGAGAGGCGACGCGCCGCCCGTTCGCGCTGGATAGGATGGATTCCTTCCAGTCGTCTGCGGGCAGCTCCGAGACCGACGCACAGGAGAGTATCATGTCGCGCGGCAAGCCAGCGGAGGGAAACAACCTCTTCGGCGGACGACAGAAGATCTACAAGATCCCCATGGGAGGATCGGCATCCATGAAGTCCCTCAACGGCACTGGCGAGTCCAGCGGGCTCGGAGGTCGCGCCCTCTACGGCGACGACGTGAGCCAATCCGCGTTCCAGAAGCTGAAGGAGCGTGAGCGCGAGGAGAGGGAGAGGGAGAGCGAGAGGCGCAGTAATGAGGAGGCGTATCGCTCGGAGTCGCCCCCGTTGGGGTATAATCGCAATCGCGAGACGTCGTCGACGACCTCGTCGGGACCGAATGGGACGCGTATGTCGACGGCGGCGACGTCGGTTACGTCGCAGCGCACGCCGTCTGTGACGGGGCAGAGTAGTGCGCCTACTACGCCTGCGGTGCCGGGGCCGGAGCGCTCGTTTACGAAGACGAAGAGATTGTATGAGACGGGTCTGGATCAGCATTTGCATACGCAGCAGTTCTCGGCTGCGAATAGACTGGATAATCTGTCGAGACAGGGAAGGAATCTAGGTGCAAGAAGCCCCTCGCCAGCTGGGTCGCCTGTCCCATCGCCGATTGAGGGACCGAGTTCCAACGCGGGGAGACAACAAAGGGTTCCGTTGAGCAGCCCGACATCACCGAATAACGGCGGATTCGACTTCGGCACCAAGCCGACTACCAAGGATGCGTTGAAGCCGTTTGTCACCACGCCACCCCTGAGTTCGCCTATCAGTGAAACCGAGGACAAGTCGGCTCTGCCGATCCAACCGAACGACAAGGGGAAAGCTACTGCTCTGGGAGCGTTTGCAAAGCCCGCACAGCCATATGATGAGAGGAAATACACGCAGAGGCAGCTCCAGATGCAACAAGGCCGCGAGACACCACCGCTCCGCAAACACGCACCCCCTCAGTCCTTCGTTCCAAACGCCGCCGGCCAGGATACCGCGCCACGCAACCGCGCGGGGTCGAATGCCACATACCAATCCGATGTATCGCGGTCGTCATCCACGCAGCGCGAATTCCAACCCCGTGAACGCATGTTCCCTCCCAAGAGAGAGCCGCCGCCAGAGCCCCAACCGCAGTCGGCGTCGATGGGATCGTTCCTCACGAGTCCTGGTGACAGTAGCGCGGCTAGCTCACCTAGGGGGAGTGGAGAGGCGACGGGTGCCGCGAATGCGTGGGAGCAGGCTGCGGCGTATGATGAGTTTGAGGTTCGCGCGCCTGCGCCTGCGATTGCGCCTGCGCCTCTGGCGGCAAGGAGGGTGGAGACGGAGCATCCTGCGTTTAGACAGGATCGGTTGAAGTTGAGGGATCTGGATGAGCAGAGGGGGATGCAGAAGATGGAGGCGCCGCTGCGGTCGCCTCCGCAGCAGCAGGCTAAGGTCCCCTCGAAGACCCCGGAGGATGTCAAGGTTGAGAAGACAAAGGTTGCATCGCCGCTAGACTCACCGACGCTGCCTGCCAGCGGACTGAGCGGGATCATCCGCCAACATCTCCGCAGCGAGAGTAACACCTCTTCCATCGGCGGCCCGCCATCCCCTGTTCTAGGACCGCAGTATCAAGCTGCGGATTACACCATGAACGGTAACCCCTGGGACGACACACCCGCCACCAACGCCACAGACAACGATTGGGCTCCCCACCCCAACATCTCCGCCTTCCAACAACCCGCTGCGATATCCAGCCCAGCAGCCACGCCTTCACACTTGACCCCTCGCGCCGCTTCCCCAGCGCCCTCGGATACGCCTTCATGGGAGAAAGCGATTAATCACCACCACAGCCGCGATGCATCCACCGAATCCCAACGCGAGCGCGAAGATTTCGCCTCCGAGCTCGCTGCGCGCCGGAAGCGCGTACAAGATAACCTGAGGAGTTTCGCCGAATCAGACAGCCGCTCCCAGTCCCCTGTTCGCGGGGGGATGGAGACGCCACCGCCGAACAGCGCGCAGCGCACGGCCTCAGGCAGCGGTGGTGGTGCCGGCCCGACACCGCGCTCAAATCATCTCAACTTCATGAAGGGGATGACGAGTCGCGAGTCCCTCGTCCCCCGATCACGGGATTCCTCAGCGGGTCCGCAGAGTAAGGCGAGGAAGATGCTCGGGATGAGCGGGGGGGAGAGGACCACGCCGCCGGGGACGCATTATGATGATCACCCGCACCCGCATAACCAGCAGGGTCCGCCACCGAGGTCGCATTATGATTCTGATTCCGCGGGGGGTGGGGGGTATGCTAGTAGTAATTATGAGAATTCTGCGCCGCCGCCGCCGAGGAGCGCGCCGAGGGGTCCTCCAACTGGTGGTGGTGGTGCTGGTGGGGCGGCGCCACAGGGGTTGAAGAGTTTTAGGGATAAGAGACGGGATGCGCAGAGGGAACGGGAAAGGCAGGTTATGAATCGTCATAGGGCGGGGACGGGGGGGAGTGATTCGGATGATTATTTTGGTGCTGCGGGGCGTCAGCAACAGCAGCAGCAGGGGATGCAGCAGCAGCCGAGGCAGAGAGCCGCGCCACACGGACAGGGCGGGAATGATAGACATCACCCTGCTATGAGGACGCGCTCGCCTAGTCGCGACGCGCCGCCTGTGAGCTATCGCGCGCCGAGGGCGGGGAGCGTGGAGAGTGGTGCTGGGAGTGGGGGGAGTAGACCGGGGACGAGGGAGAGGAGTGGGAGTAATGCTAGTGCGTCTGGGTATGGGGGGAGGGGTGGTGGGGGCCCGGGGCCGCAGCTGAGGGGGGGAGAGGGGGGGTTGTCGACTATTAATTCACCTACCTTCCCACCGCCTGCTGTCCCTTTTGCTGGGAACAACGGGGTGGGAAACGGTGCCCCGTCCCCGAGATCGAGGAGTGCGAGTCGCTCCCAAGCACAGCAGCAGCAGCAGTTTCAGGGGATGCAGTTAAACCTCGATTCCCTAGGGACAGCCTACAGCGCCGCCTCTGGGTCAAATAACTCCCCGCGACCGAGCCCGGTGGTGCCATTCGCGGTTAACTCCACGCCTGCGCTGGTTCCTACGCCTAATGGCTTACCTGGGGGTTCCGGACCGACGACACCGTTGACGCCTTCGTCGTCGAGTGGGTCGGGGTCGGCTGCTGCGGCTGCGGCGGCTATTGCCGCTGCTTCTGCGGCGAGCGCGGCGGCGGGTGTGGGGGGCGGGGGGAAGGGGAGGAAGAGGAGTGTTAATAAGAGGGATATCTCTGATCCGGTGTTTGTGTCTAGTACGAATAAAGTCTCAACCGTCGAATTACCCACCAGCCCCGTCAACTCCCAGCCTGTCGCTACGACGTTCGCGGGCATGGGAGTGGGAGAGGGGGAAGGGAAGCCGGAGGTTCCGGCGATGGATCCTAGGCGCAGGACGAGGACGGGGATGTTTTGGAAACGTCGCGATGTTTCGGCGGAGGGGAGTGATAGCGCTTCTGGATCGGGTGGTGGTGGTGGTGCGGGAGAAGTCCTGAGCAGTTCCGTCTTTGAGGGCGATGATGCGGCGGCAGCAGCAGTTGGACCGCGCGCAAGGCAGAGGTTGAGGAAGACGAGTAGTGAAGGCGGAAACCTTGCTGCTAGAGCGCGCTCGGCGGCTGGGGGTGCGGGGGGAGGGAATGGGGGGTTGACGGTGGAGAGGGTGCCTATGCCTGTTAGTGCTGGGGCGGGGGGGTTTCCTGGTAGGGAACAGGGGGAGGGGGGGGGGATGGGGGGTATGTTTTAATTATTTGTGAGAGGGAGAGGGAGACGGGGATAAAGGGGTAGTGGGGGGAAATGGGGGGAGGAATTTGGGGGGGGGGGATTGGGAGAGGCACAGCTGGTCTTGTGCTAAGGGGTATATTATATGTATTTGTGGCTATATGATGGCTTTGTAGTGGCTTGATAGATGGGGGGGTGTATGGAATAGGAAGTTTCTTGAATCTACTTCAACATTATTACTTGACTTAACTTGCATGAGTGAGAAAGGGCAAGGGCTGTTGTGTGTGTGAAACGAGCCGAGAAAGCGCATATTCTCGCTCGTAGCTGGGCGTGGCGGGCTGCTCGCTTGACATGTTCGCTCAAACTATTGGGGTGAAAAATGTATTTAAGAACACAACAGGACGAAGAGAGAGAGAGAGAGGAAGCAAGAGACTTTTGTCAGAACATTCACATTCCATGGGGTCTGGGTGGGGCTTGGCGATGGATTGATGGCGTGGCGCGTGGTGCGGGTGGGTAGGTTGGGGGGGGAGGTGAGAGGTGAGAGGTGAGCAAGGGAGGTGGTGGTGAGAAAGCGGGTGGTGAGAAAGGGGACGGCGACAGCAGAACCGCGTCGACAACGAGAGGCTCGACGGGGACTAGGTTTTCTAGGCTCTGTTCTCGATATCTTTTGTTTGAGACCGTCTTAACTTTTGTCTCGCTTCTCGCATCAGCAGGATAACCGGCGGTATCTCAGGCCATTTGAGGGCACACCTCATCCACCCTCCGTTACTTTCTTCATAGAACGTTTTTATGTAATGGTGTGAGTGGTTGTGGTGGGGTTTGTGTGGTTTGGGGGGTGTTAAGGGGAGAAGGGGGGGGGGAGGCTAAAGTAGTGCGGAGTTTTAGAGGCGGGGAAAATGGGGAATGGGGACTGGGGAAT